GTTTAAGCTTTTTTAAAAAGCAAGAATTTGCAATCTGGTTTATTTTTCATCTACTACAAGTGAATATAAAAGATCCTCCATCAAATGCTGCCAGGGAAGGTTTTCATCTGGATTCGGCCAGAGACTCGACCTTGGGGCGCTCACTAGTCAAGTCCAGCCTCTGAGAGGCCGAAGGCGCACTTGGCCATCGGAGTCTCCAGGCCCCCGCGAGACTCCAGGGCAGCCCCTCCCCACCACACACGCACTCACAACCACACAAGCGCTCGCGCACACGCACACGCACATGCACACGCGCACACGGGAGCTCTGGCGCCTGCTCCCAGTTCAAGGAAGGGGTTTTTCTCCAGGGCGGAGAAACTGCAGACACCCTGGTGTGTTTTCCTACCTTTGTTTCCTGCCCCTCTCTGCTCCCGCCCAGGCATGTCCTGCCCTGGGGTTCAGGGTTCCCGGCCTGGGCCCCACACCCCTCTCCTGCCTCAAGCACGGAGGGCGGGGCGGGAAAGGCAACGGGTCGCCCCAAGCCCTGGGTGGACCCTGGGGAGGGGCGCACGCGGGCGCGGGGGGCGCGGGGGGCGCAGGGCTCCACGCGGGCGCGCAGCGCGGGAGGCAGCCGGGCTCCGGGGGTGGGTCGCGGGCCGGGCAGCCGCGCTTACCTGTGGCGGCGGCAGGGCAGGGTCTCCCGGAGCTCGGGGCTGGGCGCGCGGCCGGGCGGGAGGACCGCGGCGGGCCGGAGCTGGCCGTGCCACTGGCCTTCGCCCCCCGCGCCTCGGGCCGCGCGCCGGGGCCGGGCCGGGCCCAGACGCACTTCCTCAATCCTGCGGCCGGCGCGCGGGCGGGGAGGGCGCGCGGGCGGGCGGACGGGCGGGCGGCGCGGAGCGCGCGGGCGAGGGTGGGCGCTGCCGGGCCGCCCCGGAACCCGCACGCGGAGCCCCGCTGGTGGCCACCTCCGTCTCCCCGGCCGCAAAGCCCGGGCGATCAGACCCACGAGGCGACCCCGATTGCAGCCCCTGCAGCGAGGTCCGCCCGGGTCGGGCTCCCTGCGCTCTCCTCGCCGGCCAGGCGCAGCGGCAGGACCGGCAGCTTCAAGCCAGACCGCGCCGTCCCCTGCAGCGCTCGGCGGCGAAACCCTTGGGCTGACCCCTGGCTGGGCCGGCCGTGCGCTCTGGCAGGAAATAATGATCAAAATGTTATAGAGCAACCCCGATATTAAACGGGTTCCTGGCTGTGGGTCCTCACCCGCGCGCTTTAAAGGGACTTATGAATACTCTACTACAGACACACGCAAAAGGTTAATAAAAGGTTTATTTACAAGGGAAAAGGAAATAAGGAAAATGTACAACTCAGGGAGAAAATAGGGAAATAAAGTCTTTAATGCGTCCTACCCGATCCGACGACCTGGAAACCCAAAGTCACTCTCCGAGCTGGCCAGACGCTGCGAGCTGGCAGAGAGCCAAAAATGGAGAGCGACTATCTTGTTTTAGCCAATTCTCCATATTTTTTTTTTCTTTTGGCTTGGATAATGGACTATTTTTAAGTAATGAAACTGTCATACTGGACATTCATGGACAATGCTGCTGACTAATTGTGGCTTCTCTTACACACATTGTAACCCTGAAAAAAAGACTGTCTCCTAAGACTACACCCTGAGATTGTGCCACCATAGATATGGTGGAATAAAAATTAAAAGGGGGGATTGCAACAGGGTGGTCCCCAGGAAAGGGGGAGGTTCCCTGCCCCACCCAAGGGAGGGTGGAGCTGAGCAGGAAGAGGAGAAGCTGCAGAGGAGACTGAGGAAGGAAGGAAGCAGGATGGAACCAGGAGACCTGGAGGAGGCGCATGGAGCCTAGAGACACGTGAAGAAACTGCGCTTGTCTTTTGGTCATGGACTGGGTGACACAGATGTGGGTGAGACCCGTGGGGAGGTGACAATGGCAGCTTTTATCTTGATGTTGATTTTGCTCTTTTCCTTCCGGGCTTGTCCGGTTGTTTGTGACCCTTTTCTGTGGGTCCCCACTGGAAGATGCTTTAGACTTGTGGCAGGCTTTGGGGCCTTGCTCTGGGCCAATCCCATTTGGATGGACTTTTACCCACGAGGGGACGGGTCACTTTGGGTGCTTCATTTAGAAACTAGACTCTTTGCCTTACCCGTATTGTTTCCTAGTCGTATTAAAGTTCCTTCCCATTAAAGTCTCCTATGTTTTGTGTTGATGCGGCGGATGGCAGAACCCATTTAGAATAGGCAGGTTTGCGGGGCTTGGGCTACCCCTCTCCCTGTCCTATAACAAAAAGACAAGGACTGCTGGGCGGTGCACACTCTTCACAGGGCAGTGGAGAAAGGTGCATTTTTTCAGCCTGAATTTGCTGCAAGCAGCACCCCTACCGCTGCATGAATTTAGGTTTAATTATGGATGTCTGCAAAAACGCCACGATTTGGGTGAATCATTTTAAATTGGCATTCTTGTTTTGGAGCAGGAGAGCCTCCCTTTTTTGGAGGGGGAATGTTGGCAGTTCGTGGAGCTTCAGTCTGATGGAAAGAGGTTCGTGGCATCGTTGAGGCCAGTGCCAAGCGCAGACCTCCACGAGCTTCATACCCACGCTGTGGGCAAGACTCAGATTCAGTTCCTTATGCCCTTCCCCGCCCCCTGCCCCCCCCCCCCCCCGCTCCGCTCCAGAGAAGCCTCCTAAGTAAAACCGATGGTTCTGCACCCCGCAGGCAGGACCCGCCCCTAAGGCTCCTCTCCGGTGAAGTCCCGACTAGGACTTCCCCAGGATTTAAAGCAAGGCATGGAGACAAAGCCACCACCTGCGCTGCCACATGCCGTTTCCCAAAAGCAGGGCAGCCGCAGCCGGCCCCCAGGCTCCCCTCGCGGACATTCCGCGTAGTGGCCACCTGGAGCAGTTCTTGGGGTTCCTGCGTGGGTGGGGCCACCCGGGAGCTTTCTCCGATTCCAAGAGACCCCCCTCTCCAGTTCTGCAACGAGACACCCTTCCAAAAGGGGGGGAGCAGTTTGGCAATCTTGTTTTCGGCACTGCGGTCCTAATTCCAGTGTGCAAACGGCAGCAGCGTGACTGCTACCGAAAAGTCCCTAATAATTTGTAGGGTGCAGGGCGTGGCGTGCGTAGCGCCGAGGGAGCCCGGGACCGCCGGGCAGCGCTTCCAGAGGGCGCGGCCCTGCCATCTAGCGGCAGCAAGAGGACGCGCGCGCCCCGTGCCCTGACCGACTCTGGAGGGAATGTGGCCCTTGGGGATGGAAGCAAATCCCCTGCCCTTTACACGAGCTTGAGGACAGGCTAGGAAATTTCCCTAGTTCAGAAAAGCGCCAGGACAGTGGACATACAGGTGGTCTGTTTCAAGCTGGTCACTGCCCAGCATTTATTCTTTAGGCGTGCGTTTGGCACAGGCTTGTGCGGGATGCTTATGCTAGGTCACTCCATTCCTCTCTGCTTCCTAACTGCAGCTGACTTGGCCTTCCAACTCTTGCTAGACTCCTGGATTCTCAGCACCTCAGGCTGGACTGACACTCCGAAAGTGGGGTCCTCTAGAAGCCACCTCCAAGACCTAACATTTCAGCCTTCTGAAGGTGCAGTGGCTGACCAGCTCTTTGGAGTCTGAGGGTGCTCAAATTCCTCAGACAGTCCCCCTTGGATGCTTTTTAAGTATCCTTCTTCACTTTCAAGCTCAAGGCAGCCACATGCTAAGAGCAAGTACATTAGAAGGCTTCATCCACGGACAGAAGCCAGGGCATTCCAAAAGGCTTGATTTTAGGGGATGTGCTCATTCTCTGTGCCCACCTCACAGCACAGGCACACAAGGGCATGCACCTGTGCGTGCACATGTACATCACAGTGGCTGTATCCCTAAAATATCTCCTTTACCAGAGTCATGCTTTGGTAAACAAAATGAAGGGAAAAAGTCATTTTCCATTCACTTTTTTAAAAATTTTTTAAAAAGACTTTATTTATGCATATAAGAACTGGGGCACAGACCAGAGGTGTGTGTGTGGGGGTGAGATGTTTCACCAGAGACAGAGTGGGGAGCAGAACAGGCAGATCTACTGAAATACACTGCTGAGGGGAGCAGCAGGCGAGTCAGGAGAGGTCTGCTGCACCATGTATGTTGCTCCCTGGCCAGCTGGGGATGGAACTGGTGCTGCAGAGGCTGTGGATAGCTTCATAGTGCTGAGACTTAATCCCTTGCATTACCAGGGATACCCTCCATTCACATTTAGATTGGGAAATGGGAGGTATCCCAATGTATCTGCACATGTGTACTTGCTTACACTAGGAGGGATCTGATCCAAGTCTCCTTTCAGCTCCCCCTTACATTTCACTGCATGGCCAAGGTGATCTGGCCCCTCAGCATCAAATGTACAGGTTGAACTTGGTGGACCTAGTCAAGTACACAGAATGTTCTCCATCCAGCCCCAATGTCAGCTCATGGCTTGATGATTGAGGCTTCTCAGTTCAAAGCCTTAGATACTTTAGGTAAGTTTAACACAAACATCACGATCCTCAAGCAGAACAGTTACAAAAATGGATACTTGTGCACACAGCTCGGGGAGGCAGTGCTTCCCTAAATCCACATGTAACGTCCCCTCCATTTCCCACACTCATGTCCTTGTCTTCTTAGGATAAAAAGATATTCAAACAGCTTAAACGACAACTCATATCTAGTCAGCTGAGACACAGAACCTCCGGAGCTGAACTTTCTGGCAGGCCAACCCCTTCAAACCATAGAAAGGTCCTCACACTCAGGCCAAGCTAGACCTGATGGGTGAGCAAATGTAATTTTGTATTTACGCCATCACCCTGCTATATTTTTATTTTAGTTTTTGCATCATTGTTCATTTTTAAACATTATTTGTTCCTCTCCTACCCACACTGCCATCATCCTACTTTATTAAAGACATTGTGTACAGATGTCTAAGAAAGAGAAAGGTCAGCCCCAGAATTATAATGGGTGTGGTCCTTAAATTAAAAAAAAAAAACAAAATGTTTCTCAAATATTCAGTTTTATTTGCTCGTTGTTGCATGGCTGAACACAATCTGCAGTTAGGATCAGAATCCCCAGGCCAATAGATTTTTAAACCATACCACAGGTATAAACCTTAAAGGAAGTGAAATCTAATACTATATAGATTTCCATTTCTACATACAGTATATTACAGAAGGTTAAATATACCACCTCTGTGTACTTACAACTATAAAAAGATACATTAACTATACCAATTATAAATAAGGTAGCATTTCATATTAAAGGCATTATTGTACAATGAAAGAACAAAACCCTCTATGTATTGCTGTAAAGATTAATGTCTATAGTTACTTGAGTTAAAATCCTGAAAATTCAGTGTATGAAGTCAAATCCTGATTGAACGAGTTACAGATAGCATAAGCAACAGGTGTTAACCTACGGAAAGAAGATGAATCTCATTTCCAACAAGAATGATAACCCCGTTAGTACATGACTTTATACATACACTGGCTTTGACACAGAGCTTCATTTTATTACTGCCCTCCCCCCAATGAATTTCTTGAATATCATTTCATTCTCCAACATAAGCACCATTTGAAAAGTACTAGTTAGCCAGTAATAGTAAAAGTACCAACTAACGCAATTTGAATTTGGTTGTTTTTTGGTAAAGCTTAGGGGAACCGTGTATTTTCCAAGTTACAACATGAAATTGCACATCATTTGGATACCAAAGGAGGAAAAGAAAAATTTGCAACCTGGGAGTGCAGTGCTCAGGCTGCTTTGGGAGAACTGCTTCCTCCATGGAGGCCAGGTGCTATTGTGGAAGTATCATTCATTAATGTCAAATAGGCCTTAAAATAACAGGGCTATAAGAAAACAATAGTCTTCCCATTGTGCATGCTTTTCTTATCTAAAATGCATGACACAACTGGACAAAAGGAAAACTTCCTAAGCCAATCATAAAGCCTGAATGAAGTGGTAGTGAAGGCTAATTTGTAGGAGCACACAATGGCTCTGACTTGTACAAGGTGGACTCAGCCATCCTAGGATTCGCTCTGCTGTCCTCACTCAAAGCGCTCTGTCCTTAGCAGCAACGGGGGGCACTAGCCATGCTTTCTGCCTAAGAAAGTGCCTGGGTTAAGGTAGACTGTGGCTTTGTTTTAGATGCACTCTTTGGGCTATGGATTGGATCTTATTCCAAAGGCAAAACTGGTTTTAAGCTGGTCAATGTCAAGAGCAGTCCTTGACCAGGACCTAGGGCCATCCACACCCCAAGGCCTTCAGTACCCTTCCTTGGTACCTGCTTCCCAAAGCTCCCCCAGTCAGATCCTGGCAATCCCGGTTTTGGTTCTTTTCTAAACTTAGTGCTAATCCTTTCCTGCGGAATGATAGGAGGGCCTTGTCCTATGGACAGGGAGGCCACAGCTGCAAGGCCCTTTGTAAAACATGCAGGACGTTTTCCCCAAATTCTTACTGGAGTCGGTCACTAAGGCATTTTTAAGCCATGGCAGGATTTTTCAAATATCGCTTCCTGCTGTCTACATCCTGAGCCTCTTCACTGTCCCCTGGGACTTAGGCTAAAGGGGGAAGCAGGAACGGCCAATACCGCCATCCCCGGGCCCGGCTGCAACTCACACACAACATATTGGCAACAAAATGGGAAGAAAAGAAAAATCGTTCAAATCCAGTAGATTTAAAGTCTCCAGAAGGAAGGATCCCAGGAAGGCCTCACACGCCATCTTCTCTCGGGCATGCCTCAGCTGCCACAGTCAGCCGTCCACTCTTGGAGGAAGGGCCTGCCTGACCCTCAGGGGCTCTTGTCACCCAGCTTGATGGTGACAGTTTTCACTTCTGTGTATTCAGCCAGAGCATATTCACCCCTGTGATCATAGAAAAGAGGAAAATTCAAAGAGGGCGACATGAAAACACGTAGCTGTTCTGTGCAAACTATGCGCTAATGCTTGGTTGGGTAGGACCTCAGCGGGCAGTCTGGAGTTTATGCAAAAGGCCAGAATGTGGTGATAACCAGAGACCAAGTGACTGTCTCATCGGTGAGTCTAAGTGACTGTGACTGAAGTGGTTTGTGTGTGATGCTGTCCAAACATCCAGAAGGACAAAGGCTTTGCCTTTAAAGAATAAAAGGGATTAAAAAAAAAATAACAAGAGGTGAATTCGCTGTGTGTGGTTGTGGTGAGGAGAGAATTAGAAGAGAGGCTCTTTGTGGGTGAAGGAGGAGGGAGAGAGGAGCAGAATAGACACCGGCTTATAACATTCAGCTGGCATTTTGGAGCCGCTTGAAGAGACAGAAGAGGCAGAGGCCCCTGGCTACGAACTGAGGGTGAGGCCAGGGGGTCCAGGAGGGACAGGGACGTGAAGGCCTGGAGCTGGTCCCGGAGCCGCAGCTGGAGAGCAGCTGAAGAAGAAGGAGGCCAGCCTGGGCAGCCAGGGGAGCGTGTGGGCCACAGGGGAGACCCCAGCCTTGGAATTAGTGCCTTTGCTGTGTCCTCTTCGGTGTTTGGTTTCTTTGAGTCTTTAGAGCAGAGCCCGGGCGACCCATCTCAGGCGCCAGCCCTTCTCAAGACTCACTAGATTTAAAGGCCTCTACGACATTTGCTCCGCCTTGAAGCAAATAAAAACGTGTACTTGTTTGGGAAAAGAGGCCGCTGGAGGCTCTGTAGCCAGCAAGATTTGAGACAGAAACCCGTCATCCCATAGACCAGTGCTTTTCAAGGTCTTTGAATAAGTCCCTGAACAAACTAACTTCTCTGATTCTCAGTTTTCTCTTCTTTTTTTTTTTAATTTTTTTAAAAAAGATTTATTTATTTATTTATACAAGCACTGGGTACAGTCAGAAGTGTGGAAGGGTGAGAGAATTCACCAGAGCGGGGAGCAGAACAGGCAGAAGGACGGAAGTACACTGCTGAGGGGAGCAGCGGGCGGCAGGAGAGGTCTGCGCGCCATGCGGGACCCTCCTCCGGTGGCCGGGGAGCAGCCGGGGATCGAACCGGCGCTGCAGAGGCTGTGGGCAGCTTCGCAACCCAGCGTTCAACCGCTGCACCACCAGGGGAGGCCCATCAGTTTTCTGTTCTGTAACATGGGGCAACAATGGTCATTATAACTTGCAAGGCAATTACTGCTGTAAGAAAAAAAAAGTAACATTGCAAATGAGAGAATCTTGAAATAGATTATCCTGGGTGTGTTCTAGAGTCAAAGGATCCTTAAAAGTTAAGAAACAGGCTGAGGACAGTGAGGGAAAGGAGTCTGCAGAAGCAGCTCTGGGAGATGCAACAAAGCTGGCTTTGCATATGGAGGCAGGGGCCCCTGGCCAGGGAATGTGGGCGGCCCCTAGAAGCTAGAAAAGGCCAGGAAGCAAATTCTCTCCCTGGAGTCTCCAGAAAGGCATGTAGCCCTGGGCCTCCCCGGTGCCGCAGCGGTTGAGCGCTGGGTTGCAAAGCTGCCCACAGCCTCTGCAGCGCCAGTTCGATCCCCGGCTGCTCCCCGGCCACCGGAGGAGGGTCCCGCATGGCGCACAGACCTCTCCTGCCGCCCGCTGCTCCCCTCAGCAGTGTGCTTCGGTCCTTCTGCCTGCTCTGCTCCCCGCTCTGGCTCTGGTGAATTCTCTCACCCTCCCGCGCTTCTGACTGTACCCAGTGCTTGTATAAATAAATAAATAAATAAATAAATAAATAAATAAATAAATAAATAAATAAATAAATAAAATCTTTAAAAAAAAATTAAAAAAATGAAAGGCATGTAGCCCTGTAGACACCTTGATTTTAGCTCACTGAGATCCTATCAGGTTTTTATCCTGCAGGAGAATCCTCCAGTAGGTTTATGTTGCTTATGCCACTAATTTTGTGGGAATTAGTTGTAGTGGCAGTAGACAGATAGAGCCATTGAATGTTGGGGTGGAGCTCAGAAGTCTGTTTAACAAGCCAGAGGATTAACATGCATGGGGTTCTGCTGCACCTCAAGCTGAAAAGTCACTGGCATAGATGTATGTAGCTTTAGGCAAGCTTTTTTGCTTTCTCTGAGCCTCAATTTTATTATTTGTAAAATGGAAATAGCATCACCTGTTTGTAGTTATAATGGATGAGAGATGATTCGTATAAACTACCTACTACATGCGAGGTAAAAAGTGCAGAGTAGATAGTAATATTTTATTATTAATATGTTGTTGATATTTTGGGGGTAGTTTCCTAAAAGAAATAGTTCAAGAGTCCACGATGATGAATGAATTATTTTGTGATCTTTTCTGACCATAACACAAAATAAAAAGGCTGTGCATGGAAGGATAACTTTATCCTTTATAAAGCAGAAACACTTAAAAAAAAGACAATGGCAAACTAGAAAATAGATAACTACAACCTTATGTAGAAAGTGCCATTTCCTTCATATACAAAGAGCTCTTACAAATCAATAAAAACATACAAACAACCAAATGGAAAAGTAACAAAGAACCCAAATAGGCAGTTGATAGAAAAAGGGACACAGATTACCAATAAATGCGAAAAAGGTGCCGAACCTCCTCACATTTAAAGAAATGCAAACCAAAAAAAGTTGTGAGTCCATGTTTCTGTGTCAGAGTAGCTTCTTTTTGGGAATTTATTCTGAAAACCACCTCCCACAAGCGTATGAAGATTTATGTGCAATGAAAAGCAGCAGCATGATTTTATAGCAAAGCCCCTTTGAAATAACACAAAAGTCCATCATACAAGACCAGCAATAAAAAGAATGAAAGGATAGCAACGTGTAATCTCAAGAAGAATAAGGAGTTTGTTCCCATTTCATTGAAAGCAGAAAAGAATGAATGAATGCACACCCATTGCATGTGTAGGAAATGCACAATCACTCTTAAAGCTGAGCACATAGTGTCGCATTATTAAAATTCAAAGTAGTCAATGATTTATCAACTTGGTAAAGAAAAGAAAAACAAACCAAGTGATGAAATCATGTTGAATTAGCACACACTAAAGTCCAGTATTAAATCATTCCTGTAAAGTTAAGTACATGAATCATCTTATTCTTGTATCAGTCATGGCCCAAGTTTAAATTCTTGTTGCTCTTATTGGCCACACTGTAGCATCTCCTAAATGATTTCTCACTGAGTCATGAATGCTTGGCCCTAGAGGGCACCCATAGTCCCAGCCCTTCCTCATTAGACCTCCCCAGGATGTTGGAGGGAAGGGAATGGGGACTTGGTGGTGGGGACTGTCGGGCCCTCTGTTACCTGCTTAGAGCTTAGCAGGTTCCTGGACCATCAAAGATGCTCAGGAAATATTTATTCAGTGAGTGCATGAATAAACGAACAAAACGAATAACCAGTGGTACCTCTAAATAAGATGATTGAAGGCTGGCAGGGAGGCCTTGGTGTCACACACACCTCTACTATGCAGACTTTTGGGTTATTGCATTTATTTTTTATCGCAAAGTAAAACAAAGAAGTAAGAAAAGTGCCTAGGAGGAGGAAAATTGCCGGCTTCCTCCGCAGACCTACACAGGAACCATCCCGGGGGCCTGTGGGTGGGCGGCGGGTCGCCAGCGCAGCCCAGGAGGCCAGGGACGGGGAAAACCATGGAATCCACCTCGCAGAGCTCCAGCACGAAAAGGGGAACTTATTGCAACATGAAGACATTAATTAGAGACAACTGAAGACGGAAATTGGTTTTCAAGTCAGTTTCCAGGCTCCTTGTGAGTTATGTTAAAGTACTTTATCGAAAACCTTGGAAAAATATATGCCAGGGGTCAAAAAACCAGACATTCAAAAAAGTCCCAGTTGTGGGTAAGGACAGGATGAAATATGGATCCTGCTCTGAGAAGACTCATCCAGGGCCTGAGCCAGGCAGGGGGTGCCGAGGGCCAGGGAGCGCTGTCAGGCTGGGAGACAGAGAGAGGTGGGCAAGGAAGCCAGCAGCAGGGTCGGTGGGCCCAGTGGACACTAGGTGGGCCCCACACATCTTTGCCTCAGCTTCCACATCCAAGGACACTGCTTTGGGGATTGAAGGTCGTGTGGGAGGAGGACCATGTGAGGTTCTACGCCCACCGCAATCAGGAGACCGATGGCCACGCCTAGCCTGGCTGGCTTCACCCAGGTGGCCTACATCCCAGAAATGTAAGGCCTTGAGCAAGGCCCTGTGGTATGGAGGGCTCATGGGTTCAACCCCAACTCTGCCACTGACTGGCAGTGTGGCCTGCGATGGCTACTGAACCTCTCTGGGCATCCCTGGGTTTCTTCATCGAAAGCAGGGAGACCAGCAGCACCATCAGCAGTGGGCAGGAGGTTTGTGTTCCTTGTCCTCCAAAGTTTGTATGTTGAAACTCCAAGTCCCAAGGTTTGGCAGAGGGGGCCTTTGGGAGGTGATGAGCGTCCTTATAAAGGAGACTTTATAAGGTCATCCATTCCAATTCTCCTCCTCCTGGGCGCTTTTCTTATTTCTTTGTTTTACTTCGAGATAAAAATAAATGCAGTAACCCAAAAGTCTGCATAGTAGAGGTGTGCGGGACACCAAGGCCTCCCTCCCAGCCCTCAATCATCTTATTTAGAGGTACTTTATAAGCTCCTAGCCGCTTCTACTGTGGGACCCAGGGAGAAAACAGCTGGCCCTCGGCAGACACTGGGTCAGCCAGCACTTTCGTCTTGGACTTCCAGCCTCCAGAAGTGGGAGCAAGAAAGGCTTGTTGCTGAAGCCTGAGGCTGCACCACCCTGCTAGAGCAGCCCAGATAGACAGAAACAGCCACTCCTGAGCACGAGGATGGCGTGCTCGCACCGCCCAGGGCACCGGGAAAGAGCCGTTCTCAGCAAATGCCAGTTGTTGCCAGCACTACTGGTGTTGGGGGTTCCTGGAGGGGACCCCAGCCAGGGCTCATGTTCCTCTCAGGTGGGCATGAAATGGAAAGGAATCAGGTTCACAGAACAATGTTTTTGCTTAGGGTCTTCATGGCCAAGAATTTACTGAGGTTCCTGGAAGAGGAAACCAGTCACAGAAATGAGGAGCCTAATGGCTACACTACTTGGATGTTCACATGACTCTGGGGTGTTTGCCACAAATCAGGGGTGGACTAGAAAGATGCACAGAGATGGGGAAAGGGACCCCGATTCCATGGAAACTGGTCAAAAGCATTTGCTCCAGGGCGGGAGTCAGTTGTGTTCTTTCTTATACCTTTATGAAAACTCTGGAAGCGGCACTGCCCATGGACCTCACCAAGGCCCAAGCCCCAGGGCAGCAGTGAGTGTTCCCAGCGGATGATGCATAGGAAGCCCGAGGCAGAACGTTTGTGTATAAATAACACACACTGTTTAGATGAAAGGAAGAGCTTGGAGCTTTTTGAGATGCCCAGGAACAGCCCTGCGAGTTGTCACACACAGTCCCCTGGCAAGACCGATCCCACAGGCTGTTCGCCCACAATGGCTAATGAAACCCTGAGAGGCACCGAGAAGGCCTGGGAGGGAGAAGGCAGCATCCAGCTGGAAACCAGCAAGTCCACCCATGGAGTAGCCCTTTCTGCTCTGTGCCTCGACCTTTTATCTAGGCCAGATGCAAGCGGGCCATTTCATAGTCTATGCCCGTGGAGCTCATTTTCCTCACAGGCAGGACAGAAGGGACCCTTGAAAGGATACCAGGTGGGTTGGATGGCACCATGGAGGCCCAGCAGGAGCCAGAGTCACCCAGGGTCCATCTCTGGAGCCTCTGCTAGGCTCAGGAAGAGGGAGGGCCCAGCAGTTTGGGTGCAGCCTGACCAGGGAAGGCTCCCGACTGGAGCACATGCCACCACCCTGCGATCTAGCTTGATTCTCCTGCCAGCAGGTGTGGGGACACAGAAATACTCACAGTTCTCTGCCGTTCCCCGACATTTTAAAGCCACCAAACGGAGCCTGTGCATAGAAGGCATTGTAGCAGTTGATCCTAGAAAAGAAAGGAAAGATCCTCAGGATTATCTGGAGAAGCCCCAGCTGTCAGGCCTCAGTGCCCAGCATTGCCTAGCGATGGTGCGTTGTCTTAAGTTTTTATAATGAAAGCCCAGTGTGCTCTCAAGTTCTGCCTTCTAGTTCGTTCCACCAGGAACTCAAGCTGGAATATACTCATGTACAGGTGACCCTTGAAAAACAAGGAGGTAAGGGATACTGATCTTCCTTGAAGTTGAAAATTCTCAAATAGGGCCTCCCCGTGGCGCAGCAGGTTGAACACAGTGCTGTGAAGCTGTCCGCAGCCTCTGCCGTGTTGGTTCGACTCCTGGCCGGCCAGGGAGATTCTCACATGGCGCGGCAGACCTCTCCTGTCTCGTTCGCTGCTCCCCTCAGCAGTGTATTTCTGTCCTTCTGCCTGTTCTGCTCCCTGCTCTGTCTCTGGTGAATCCTCTCACCCTCCCACACCTCTGGCCTGTACCCCAGTGCTTGTATAAATAAATAAATCTTTAAAAAAAAAAAGAAAATCCTCAAATAATTCCTGACTCCCCCCAAGCTTGATTCTAATACCCTGCTATTGACTGGAAGCCTTACTAATAACATGAATAGCCGATGAACACATATTTTAAGTTTATGTATGTGTGTGTGTGCGCGTATGATCTGTTATATGTATATAAAATCGACCATCTTCTTAAAGAGAAAGGCAGCTGGAGAAAAGAAAAATGTCTTGAAGAAAATACTAAGGGCGAGAAAATGCATTCACAGCACTGGCCTGTGTTGCTTGACACTAAGTTTACATCATGTTTACAGAAAAGCTGCCCATAGGTGGATCCCTGCAGTTCAACTGCTGTTTTGAGGGTTAGCTGGTATATAAAGAGTTTCCTTTAGATAGGAGGGAATGACAAGGGGAGAAAAAAAGTAGAGAAAATTAATGCATTGGGGTATAAGAATTTGTTTTGCAATGAGGCAGACCTGTCCTGAAAGCTCTGTTACTCTGGGCTTGTTCTTTAACTGCTCTGAGGCCCGATTCATCTTTATCACATCCTTTGAGCTTTAAAAGGAGGATAATGTAACCTGCAGAGTTGCTGATGAAGCGGGCATTTATCCACACTTTTCACAAGAACATGCACTGTTTTTAGAAGCAGACTTGAGGTCCTCCCAGGTGGTGCAAGGGGTTAAGCACAGCACTGTGAAACTATCTGTGGTCTCTGCAGCATGAGTTCGATTCCCAGCCAGGGAGCTACCCACATGGCGCAGCAGACCTCTCCTGTCTCCCCGCTGCTCCCCTCAGCAGTGTATTTCAGTCAGTCTGCCTGTTCTGTTCCCCATTCTGTCTCTGGTGAATCCGCTCACCCTTTGCACCTCTGGCCTGTACCCCAGTTCTTGTATGCATAAATAAATAAAAAATAAATCTTTTTTTAAAAAAGAAACAATTGAAAACAGCTAGAGGGGATGAAGTTCAAGGGGGTAATCTAGGCTGGTAGTTAAGAACCTGGGCACCAGCTGGACAGTTGGCTTGAACTTTGTCTTCCCACACATTTGCTGTGTGACCCTGGGCAAGACACTCAGTTTCTCTGGGTGTCGATTTCCTCCTCTGTGAATTGGAGACAATAACAGTACCTACCCTGGGAGGTGGGCACATGAATCGGGCTAAGCACTTTGCCAGTGCCTGGCACAGAACATACAACTAGTAGCTCCCTGTTAATCAAACAGGGACGAAGCGAGCTCAGGAGAGCCGAAACACACTCGCCACTCACCAGACAGTTCCAGACTCTAACGCAGAAGCCAGCTTCAGGGCTTTGTCCAGGTTTTTTGTGAACACAGCAGCCGTGAGTCCATATTCAAGGCTATTTGCTCTTTTGATCACTTCTTCAATATTTTTGAATTTCAGTATTGGCTGTACCGGCCCAAAGATCTATGATTAATGGCAAAAAGGGCAGAGTCAGGCTTAAGTCAAACACGCATGAGCTGTTTCCCTTTATTTCATGCTTTTCCATAAACCCACGGCACACACGTGGCGTGAAGCCAGTACCAGAGAAGAAAGACCATCCAAGGACCCTCCAGATGGTGATGGTTAAAACCTGAAGGGAAAGGCTAAAATGAAATAAAAACAAAAAATAACAAAAGTGTATGTTGGGTTTAAGATCGCTCCTGGGTCATCAGGCACCAGAGCTTCTGAGAACCCGAACTTTGGAGTAACACTGCGTGTTAACACCCAGGAGACAACATCTTATGCTCTACTTGGACAGTGATTGCAAAGGGAGTTTATAGACATTGTGCATGACTCCATCTCTTGGTCTGTGTTTTTCACAAGGGGACACACTAAAAAATGTTTCCTCATAACTCCTGGTGTGTGTGTGTGTGTGTGTGTGTGTGTGTGTGTGTGTGTGGAGGATGAGACAATGTACCTTGTAGTCTAGGACACAGCAAAGAAAGGGAAGGGGACATTAATGGCTGACCATTTAGGGGTAACTCTGAAGGGACCCTGTGATCCAGCCAGTATGTGGCACCATCATGACCCTGGGGGGCAGTGCCAGCCTGCACAAACACATTTCCAGGATCCCCAGGAACTTTGGTCACAGGGAAGTTTAAAGAGCTGAAACTCATGCCATCAGCAAGTTAGTTTGTAAAATAAAAATCTCAGGGAGACTGCAGTGCAGGATTAATCCCGGCCAGCCGCGGAGATACCCTGGCAGGGCAGACCTCTCCTGTCTCTCCCGCTGCTCCCCTCAGCAGTGTATTTTGGTCCTTCTGCCTGTTCTGTTCCCTGCTCTGTCTCTGGTGAATCCTCTCACCATCCTGCACATCTGGCCTGTACCCCAGTTCTTGTATAAATAAAATAAATCTTTAAAAAAAAAATCTCAGGGAGAAAGTCTATAAAATACCCACACCAGGAAGCCCTTGGCAGTGATTCACTTTTTTTGTGTCCCAAAAGGCCACATCCTACCACCCTGCCACCGGGGCCTAGGTGCAAAGTGTTTCCATTTAGCAACAATGGGGTTGACAGACAAAGTGAGATTTGCACTCTTACGCAGGGAGAGGGGTTCCTTAATTCCCACCGTTGTTAAGGGTGCCCGTGATGAACTTCAAAGAGAATTCTAGCTGGGATGAATTGTTTGAATGAAGACTTGTCCTTTAATTTTGACCTGGGGGCACTGGAGGTGGCTCTGGGCTCTGAATCCAGAGCTGGATTCTTGGTACAACCCATCCTCCATCCCAGGCCAAATTAAGGACTGTTAGAGGAATGCACGAGCGATTGCTGCTTTCCAGAGACAACGGACAAGGAGTGAAAGAGGGTGTTCTTCAATCCTTGGGGTTTGGCAAGACATTTTCCCCAAGGACCCCAAAGGAGAGGGAAAGTCTCCGCATAAAGATTTCTGGGGCCAAGAGCAGTCTCCTGTTTGGACTGCACAGCCCTCCCCAGCTGGCCCCCCACCCTGAGGGTCCATGGGCCAGAGCTCTGCTGCAGCTCATACCTCCTCTTTGGCAATCCTCATGGTGTCGGTCACTTCTGAGAAGACAGTAGGCTTGATGAAGAGGCCTCTGTCTTCCATGGCGGAGCCCCCACACTCCAGCTTGGCTCCCTCCTTCTTCCCGCTCTCGATCAGATCGAGAATTTTGTCGAACTGCTTTTGATCAATCTGAAAACACAGTGGGGAGTCCAGTTGGCTTCCTTCTGGGCCGCGGCTCCCATGGTGAGTGTCCAAAGGCTTTCAGCAGGATCGGTGGCCTTAGCCCTCAACGTTCTTGCCAAGTTATAATTCACGGAACAAATGCGCCTTGTGTGCCAATGTTTCTCTGATGTACAAACCCTGCCTCTTTGGAGCTGACAAGAGATGGGGAGAGATGGGTTCTCTCATCCTGCCCAGGCTGGGGTTTATTCCTACACCTGACTCCACCCCCTCCATGCTGTTAAATCCTCAGGTGAAACAAGACCTGGAGTGATCACTGTCTTTGTTCCCCCGATTCTGTGTCCCATGGGTATCAGATTTGGCAACTAAGACTACAGGACAGCCCGTTAAATGGAAGTAAAAAATGCTTTTTTTTTTTTTCTTTTAAGCATAAACATGTCCTAAGCAAGAACATGGTGAAGGATCCCTGGCTCTCCTGTTCTTGGGGCTATTGTCTCGGTGCTCAGTATTCCTCCTGGTCAAGCTAAATGCACAGTCTGGCAGGAGGCCTCTCACCAGGGCAAAGTCCTGGTATGAGGAACATACTGGAAACCGGTATCTGCTGAAAACAGCTGGCAGATATTATGTCCAAATTAGCAAGATCAGCTAGAATACCCTACTTGTAAAGATTAGCAGAAAGTTAGATAAGAACAGGGGCTAGAGATAGTCAGCAGGAACTATGGAGCCCCCCCAGGCATCACCCCTGGTCATCCCACCCTAGCGTGCACAAGGAGATGACACATCCCGGATAATGCTTCCCTGATAACGCACCCCCACACATGTACATTGCCCATGTGTGCACTTTCTCTGAACTTGGTTCTAAATAAGTTAGACTGCCCATGGATCCGGGCTGCCCCTTCCTGGTGTACCCCTCTAGGCCTCTCTCTACTTGGAGAGAGTAATCTCCCTCATTCTGTGCCACTTCCAACACCGCCACCCCTGAAAGCAACAATGTAGGATATCCTTATGCCCAAAATGTATTCACTGCTTATCTGAACTTGAGCTTGAACTGGGTGTCACACGTTTTATCTGCTCACAGGGATGACAGTTTTGGGTAACACAATGCCTTTTGGGGAATCATAAAGGGGGATATCAGAATACATGTTATATTGGCTTACATGCACATAAAGAAACTGAAGGGGTACACAGAAGCTGAGATCACGAGCTACCCCTGGCAGGGAGGGTAAGAAGCAGGCCTGTGATAGGATAGGGAGGATGCCATCACCATTGACCTTCACACCTGTGCACCTTTCACCTGTGGGTATGCTCCCCTATTAAAGTACTTCAGACACCCCCGCTGGACCCAAGGTTCTCTCAACTTCTTTTTGGCTAAACCAAGTCTTGGCTTAAAAGTTTCAGGTGTTGCTCTCCTCCTCTTTGGAGGCCCAGGGGGCTTTCGGGCTTCATCAAACCACAGGTCCTGAGTGGCCGTGGATGACATCAGATCTGGCTGAACACTGTCTGTCCTGCAGGCAGAGCTGGGTCCCTGTGGAAGCCCAGCACATCCTGACTCAACTCTCCCTGGCGCGCCTGTGTGAACACATTGTTTAAATCTAAAAACCCTCCATGAAGTGTCAGCCAATGCCTTATAGAGCAGGAAGAAGAAGCTGCCGGAAGTGAGGATGAGGGATGCGGCAGGGCACACACTGGGGGTGGGATGTGGGGGGATGGCTCCCGGAGGAGCGGCCGGAGGCTGCTCTCGGCTCTCTCGGGGAGCACACGGATCAGTCCCCACCAGGTGGCCTGCGTGATGTTTATGCTCCTTGTCACTCAGTTGCCAAATAAACCTGAATGATCTGGGAACATTCCGGTGAGTGGCTGGCCTGCAGTGGACACCAATCTAGGTCAGCGAGCTGTTTTATAGGCATGAGACAGACAGGACTATTTAGACAGCTGTAAGTCCTCCCCCAGTAAAATCTTATGACTATAGATGAAAAAGCACTGGGGGAGAAAAAAAAAATCCAACAGCGTCCTAAAATAATACGCTGAGGTTAGACAGCTTAAGTGAGCTCTCGAAAGGACTTTCAGCAGCAGCAGCGCTGATGAAATCAACACCCGTTTTGCTTGGATCTCTTCTCTTGGAAGAGATTTGTATATCTGACTTCAAAACGCCAAGCCCGAAGCCTTGGCAAGAGGTTCATGAATAATGATGGGGTGAAAGAGTTTCCTTAGTTGGAGATCGGCTTGCATATTTCCCATGGATCCTGGATTAGCTTTACAATCACGGTGGATTTGATAATGACTTGTGGCCCTATTTGCATTCAGATCTGAACTCCAACCAAGGCTAATAGATAATCTTTGTGAAATTGGCCTCTAGGTTTAGAGCTGAGGCCTGGCAGGAAGGGGAGTGTTGGCCACAGGCAGAGATGCCGCTCTCCGCCAGGTCACGTGGAACTGGAGCCGCAGAGCACATGGGCTGGGGCAAAGCAAGGGTGGCCCTGTGGCCAGAAACACACTTCTTCCACGTGGTCCTTCCCCCCAGCCAGAACATCCCCACGGGATGAACCAGCCCCATCCCATCGACTTAGCCTGAGTTCACGCACAGACATCGCTGCCCCAGATCAGGGAGGCTGTCAGTCAATGCTCCCCCTTCAAAAAGAATAAAATTACCCTTTTATGAATACTTATCAGGTGCAATGAAATTCTCATAGTATTTATCCATTGCTCCCATTTTCAGAGGAGCACACTGGGCTTTGAAAGGAACTTGTAGTTTTCAGAAAGTCACTAAGCCAAGTCTGCCCTCAGCCCTATAGCCTCCTCTGTGAATGGCAGTGGCTACGCAGGGGTGATCAGCAAGCTCTTGGGACAGAGACACAGGGGTGAGTCCTGATGTGTGACTCAAAATTTCAAGGCAGGGACAGGACTTCGGCTCCAAGCGAAGTGGGTTGCTATCAAGCTCCATTTCAATAATGCATGGGACAGAGGCTGCCTTCTTTTAAATATTTATCCATCTGCTTCACTGCATGATTAGCAAGAAAGTGATACAGGATGTGTTCTTTAAAGAGGTTATGAAACCTTGGTTGTGAGCGTGGTTGTGAGCGTGGTTGTGAGCGTTTTCATCCTGTTGTTGGTTTCTCCAACCAGGCCTCCAGAGACACGTTCTTACTGTCCGGAGATGCATCCCCACCCCTCAGCCCCTCTCCACAGGGATCCTTTAGTTTCTGACAGTCACCTTTTCCTATAACACATGGGGGCTCCAGGGCCTCCATGCTGAGACCACTAGCTCCAGGCAACGCCCCCCACCCCACAACCTGGTTGCCTTTCTACCAGGGTCTCCAGCCTTTTCTGCAGGGGAGACCATCCAGGTAAGAGAGGCTCTGCCTGAGGCTCTCTCTTGGGGACGGGGGAGGCTCCAAGAAGGGGTGGCACTCTGAGGGAGCTGGGGGTGCAGACACATGGCCTCATGAACTGGAAATGGCTTGATTCCAATGAGGCCCTGAACTGGCATTCCGGCCCCATTTCCAAAGACCTGCTGGGATTGTGCTGTCATCGGCAGCTCAACAGAGCCCTCAAGAGGCAGGGCACATCAGCCCCTGCTCGCTTTGAGAGTACCCTTGGAATCTCACAGCACGGAGATGGGCAGCACTGGTCCCCACACAGCAGCAGGTTACCTGGGGTCCCTGCTCGGTCCTGACGTCAAAGGGGTCGCCCACGGACCGCTTCTTGGCGTACTCCACGCTGCGCCTGACGAACTCGGCGTAGACCTGCTCTTCCACGAACACCCTGGAGGCGGCCGTGCAGCACTGGCCCTGGTTGAAGAACACTCCCTGATGGGCGCTCTCCACTGCCAAGTCCACTGCGGGGGGCGGGGGCCAGAGGAAGCGATTAAGTCGTTAGGGCAGGACTGGCGACAGCTGCGACTCTAATTGCCCACAAGCAAACAGGCCCCAGAAAGGCTGCATGTCAGAAATTAATTTTGTTCTCAGCATTTCCCAAACAGGGAGCATGGGAACAAGGACCCTCAGGCCCACTGGGTCTGCAGCTCACTGGGACTTCTCAGTAGCTTTACTAAAAGCACAGAGTCATGGCGTTCCCCATTCTACTTGCGCCTGGAACCCTCCCCTCCCCTTCACTGGAGGACAGATTTCTCTAGAACAACGTTTGTGAAGCTTTGATGCAGGCCAACTGGTGAGAACTTTTAAAGGAGCCCAAATTTTCCATCTTGAGCAAAAGAAGGGTCTCAGTAAGACACAAGACACCATGTATGACTGAGAAGGGCTTAAAAAAAAACAAAAACAAAAACAACAACAACAAAAAACAAGCCACGCACCCAGCCTGATGAAGACTGGATCTGAACTGCACCGAGTTACTGAAAACCAGTTACTGAAACTGAGCATAGAAGTGGGCTCAGAAGGTAAGACTTTTGGGGCCTGCTTAATGGAGAACAAGTGGCTGTCATTTGCATTCACAGGGGCCTCCAGAACTCCACTGCTGGCTGTTTCTGTGTCCTCCCTTCCCCAAACACACTCCACACTCCACACTTGCTGAAGAAACATGGATGTTCTTTGCATTGAGCAAAAGCCAGGCCCTCTGGATGCGGGCAGGTGATGTGCCGCATCAACTCTAAGGAACCTGCCCTTGGCTTTGAGACCTGGGCTGCTGCTCAGCAGGGTCTTTGTGCGAGCGGCCGAGGCAGAGGACATCACTGGGTCCCTGCCTCTCCCTGCACCCCCACCCTCTCTGTGCCAACTTCAGACTGCCTGTCCTCCAAAGGAATCAATTCATTTCCTGCATCCTGATGGGAGTGGGGGTGGGGAACGCAGAGGGGAGAGAGCGGCACGCTACTGTTGAAATCATGCCTGGGTGGCACTTACGACAGGGTTTAATTTTGTGAGCAGGCACTGCCCAGATGAGGAGTAGGGAGATGACGCTTCAGCGTGTTTATCTGCCGTGTCAAAACACCCTTCAAACACAGGAATCCTGTGTTTTAGCTGGAGTTTTCCCCAAGGAGAGCAAAAGTGGCTGAGATGAAGTCCCTGATGGGGCATCCAGAAACGGGGGGACTGTGCAAACCAGGAGCCTGGCTTTTTGGGATGGGAGTTTGGATTTAAATGTGGGTCACAGTGGTGCCACACCCAGAACTGGCCCATGTGACTCCAGAAATCATCAGCAACACTAATGCGCGTCCACAGGGAGTACCAATCCAGGCAAAAATGGAGCAGTCTATCTTCATGCCTCACTTCTTTCTCCTTCTTCTCCCCCACCCGCTGAAAGCCAGCATCGGAGACAACTGGTATCAGGCAATTACACCTTAGTAAGAAATTGTGCCAGAATCATTTTTCTTAGGGATATTTGCAATTCCAGACATACCTGAGTGGGGAATGGAAGGCTTTGTTCTTCATGAAAGGAATTTCCAGTACAGTGGACAGGTGGGGGAGGCTATTCATTAAGGAGGGTTAGGATACTTGGGAAGACACACCTGTGACAGCTAACCCTGTCAGCTGATGTGTCCTTTCTCCTTCTTCTGGATATGACAGCCAAGAATAGCATATATCTTTACATTGTGTCAGAAGGCTCTAGCAGGGCTAGCTGGACAGGGCTGCCTTCCCAGAGAAAGGAAGAAGGTCAGCTGCCCACTGACCTCCTCTAGTTTGAATGGCCCAAGACAAAGAAGGATGCCATCTCCAGTCTTTGTTTTGCAGGAAAGCAAGATAGGAATTTCTGAGGCAGAGGACAAAGTGACTGACACCTGCAGGGGACTGTGCACAGGGACCCCAGCTTCACAGGCGAGGGGCAAGCAAGCTAAACCTTGAAGGGCAGAAGCAGGAAGCTCCGTTGGCTACCACAACATCCTTCTGCCACCCAGCTGCCTAGCACTTGTAAAGCTTATGTTTTGTTCTCCATTTATCCATCTAAGGAAGATGACCCAGGGGGAAAATCATTCCCAGAGCGAGTATTATATGTGTATCTCGGAACTGGTTCTGAATTGGGGCAACAAAGCAGGAGAGAGTTATGGATCCCCTAAAGCCCCACCCATGACCAGAAGAGGGGAAACTCACAGTCGGCATCAGCACACACAATACAGGGGTTTTTCCCCCCAAGCTCCAGTGTCACCCTCTTCAGGTTGCTCCGGGAGGCAGCTTCCTTAACCAGCTTCCCAACCTTCAGGATAAAAAAGAGACCAGGTGAAACTGTGGACCTGCCCAGATGTGGCCCAACCATTGGAGACACGCCTTGGAGGTCGTGAGTAGGAGGTGGCCAGGGTCCTCCTCCACCTCTCTGCCCAGGTGCTCTGCATCTTGATGCTGTCACTTCTCTGTTCTGGTACCAACATGTCTTTGCAGATCAGACCTTGAGGTCATGGGCATTCTTAGTCCAAGCTGTTCCCCTTATGAAGATGGAGTAGCAATTTTGGAAGCCCCAGTGATTTGTGTATGGCCATGGAAGTGGGGAGAAGCACCCCCTCTGCAAAGATGGCCTGCCAATTGGGCAACTCCTGGGGCCACAGGGGCCACTCTCTTGTCCATCATGTTAGTTAAATTCAAGGGGAGCCCAGTGGTCATCTAGATAGGGTTCAGGGGAATCTCTGCAGAGGTGGGGTCAAAGGCAGGGGACAGGATGGTTCTGCTGTGGGATGAGATGACAGGGAACAGCTGTAGGGCAGCAGTCACATTTAGCACAACTCTGTCCCTTCACCTTCCATCTCCCATCCAGCCAGGTCTGGAGCGGCTGCTGATGTTCCTTCTCAGCAATTTTCACTGGGGTTTGGTGAGGCCCCAATTTGATTTTGAAGCAGTGGAAGTACTCTCTCATGAAAAATAATTCCACATATGGATACAAGTAAACTAAAGGGGGAGAGTTTTCATCTCCCTTCACCCTGTGCCCCAGGACCTGGCCCAGAGGTAGCAATAGCAAGAATTTTAGGGCCCCAAAACAGATGAGTAGCTCAGGAAGATGTGGTATATATACACAAGGGAATACTACTCAGCTATGAAAAAGACAAGATTTAGCCATTTGTAGTAACATGGGTGAAACTGGAGGATTATGTTAAAAGAAGTCATTCAGAAGGAGAAAGACAAACACCAGATGGTGTCACTTAATATGTGGGACATAGAGAAACAAAACAAAGGGTCAAATAGAACCAGACCAATAACAAGCCCTAGAAATCTGACTATAGAACTGAGGTGACGAGAGGAGGAGAGCAAGGGAAGAGAACAAAGTGGGGAGGGAGCACAATGTCTACGGTGGAGGGTGTTTTGGTGATGAGTGTGTGGTGGCAACCACACCTGAAGGGTGTGATCCCATATGCCTCTAACCACAAACAACATTGTAAACCAATGTAACCTCAATCAATTTATCAATTATCAAACTTTACAAAAAAAGAATTCTTGGGAAACCCTCCAGATTATTTCTATTTCCCAACACAAACACTTTTACTAATGAGATCCTGTTGCAGAAAAACTTTCTTAACATCTCCCTGTTTGTGCTTCAAGCACAGATCAGTGGCAGCTATCCTCACTGAAATGGCCATAAAACATGGGACTATATGTAATGGATATGATATACCGGAAAGTATGTCCTTGAGTGCTCATGAGAACATTTCTCTAAGTATCAAAGTGGACTTTCTGAATCAAAGGTTTTCTGGTTTCCAGTGTGTGATGAGCACCAGCACATTAGATCCACCTTAGGAAGTGTGTATGTGAGAGCCCGCATCCTATAAACTCGATTTCACCAGGTTCTCATTCTTCCGTTTTGACAAAGGAAATACAGTTTGATTTTTGTTTCCCTGATGATCACTATGACAGGTAACGTGATTGGGCATTCACAGTGTATCTTTTCTTTGAGTTGCCATTTTCCCCACCATTCAGTCTTTTTATTTTTTCATTGATATTGAGGAGCCCTTTACATATTAAGGATCGCAACATTTGGAGAGCTGCAATAAATCATGATTGTTATTCTTTTAGCTTGTTGCTTATCTCTTAACCTTGATTATGATGTTTGTCATAAGGATGTTTTACATTTTATCTTATCAATCCATCTTTTCTTCAAAGATTTCTGAGTTCTAGTCGATACTTATTTAGTTTGGAAACTGGACCAGTTTAAAAAAAAACTGGACTTTTTAAAAAAATGCTGATTATGAAAACATGGTCAAATGTAGAAGGAAAATAAATCAGTTTATCCTCTCAAAGGAAAAGTTCCCTACTCCCTTTTGCCAGCAGCCAGAGAAAAGGGTTACCTCCGTGGACCCGGTAAAGGCTATCTTGTTGATCTGAGGGTGAGATGAAATCGCTGCTCCCACTGTGGGCCCAAACCCTGGCACGATGTTCACCACACCTGGTGGGAATCCGACCTAGGAGGCAATAGAGATGGTCTTCAGAGGAGGGGAGTGGGCCGTGTCCACCACAGAGCCCACAGCAGTGAGAGAGTCATGGCTGCATGGCACCCCAGTGAGCAGCTTCCCCACGGGAAGTCCACAGGTGTTACACCTCCACCACAGGACCCAGACCAGGCAGCCAGGGTGCGGACTGAGCCAGGACATCCTGCCCTTCAGGAAGCCCTCCCACCCAAAAGAACTTTGGGCCAAAATGGCGGTGTACCTTCTGAGCAGAGCACAGTTCCATGTGTGTTTGTTTGTGTGTGTGTGTGTGTGTGTGCTGGGGTAGGAGGGACATCTTGGTCACCAAGGCTCAGAGGTTCAGAGGCACCTGCAGAGTATTCTTCCCAAGTTTCTGTTTTCATATTTAAATCTGTCCCATTCTTGTTCCAGGTGGCACTGAGCCATCACCCACTCAGAGTCCTTGCCGTGGAACCTGGGGCCACATCCAGAGCCAGCACCTCCAGAAGGCTGGGAGCGGCATGGCCATCACAGGCACCCCTCCTTGGGGTTTGCAGACGTGAGGCTGTTTTACTAACCCAGAACACCCTGAATGAACAAGGGAGGATGTCTATTCCCACATGCCCAGTCTACAACTTATTATTTTAGAAAGGCAAGATTTTAGGACCCGGAGCTTGAGCCTTTAGTTTTTCTACACCTTGTTTTTCAACAGTTGTGAATTTAGAACCTATTCTGTAAGTCTCCTTAATGTGACTTAGTCATGTCAGTATAACAGTCAAAAGAAAGTGGGGAGCTGGTCAGTTACTGGCTGCCCCAATCTTCAATTTAAGCACTAAACCTGGCTCATCCTGGTTGCATTAGTCTGCTGATAAGTGAATGGACCTTTCTTTTCTTTTGCAACATACAAGCTGGGGGGCCTCCCTGGTGGTGCAAGGAGTTAAGAGCAACCTATGAATCTGTCTACGGCCTCTGCAGCACGAGTTTGATCCCCGGCCAGGGAGAAACCCACATGGTGCAGCAGACCTCTCCTGTCTCTCCTGCTGCTCCCCTCAGCAGTGTATTTCACTTAGTCTGCCTGTTCTGCTCCCGCTCTGTCTCTGGTGAATCCTCTCACCCCCCACACCTCTGGCCTGTACCCCAGTTCTTGTATGAATAAACAAATAAATCTTAAAAAAATACAAGCTGGGGACAGAATGACTAAGACATGTTGCCAGGTATGTCTGGAAGGAGCCATCCCCTTGCACTGATGTTTCCCTGAGCAGTAGCTGTCACCTGGATCAGAGCATTGGTGAGAAGGCTGTGTGGGAGCTGGTGTAGTAGAGGCCACTTTGGCAGGAGTGGGCAAGATTATTCCTCCAAGAGAAACATGGCCCATCCGCAGACAACGGAGGGCCTGAAGAACTTCTCAAGTACTCAATTCTCCCTCATGGAACCCTTTGCAAATTCTCTAGACAAAACACTTGGACCGAAGTCATAGGTTTGAACAGGTATTAAGAGTTAAGTATTCTCACATGGACTAGTGGAAGGAATGGAGTTTCTTCTAGCTCAGTGACCACAAGCAGGAGAAGGAAATTGCAGCTGCCAAGTGAAACATAGCGTCATCCCTTCCCACTCGGTGGTGAGCAGGCTGACACTGTCACGCACTGCCCAGCCCAACAGGGAGGCTTTATCTCCTGTCGTGACCTGGCTCCTAGGTATGGGAAAGTGCTTGAGAACACAAACATTCTGAACACCTTACCTCTTTGATCAGAGAGCCCAGGTAAAGGGCAGTGAGGGGTGTCTGTTCTGCCGGCTTCACGACCACCGTATTCCCACAGCAGAGAGCAGGGGCCAGTTTCCACGCCAGCATCAGCAGAGGGAAGTTCCACTGCAATAGAGCACAGGGCACTTGGGGATCTGGATCCATCCCACTACTCTGTCCCAAAGGCCCTGCAATACCTCTTGTTTGCATGATCCAGCTTTGGGGCTCAAGAGGTAACATAGGAGTTGTAATGCAATGATCAAATTGCACTTCTGCTGGGCACTTGCGGAGTGTATTCTGGGAGATGGTAATAGTCTTTGCCAAACAGGTTAACAATGGCATCAGCATGTTAAAGGGCCTGAAACATCCTACAGGAAGGAGATTAGCCTCTTCAATCATAAGTTTGAGCCCATAATGGGAGTTAAGTATTCTCATTTGAATGCCCCAGGATGTTTTTCTCTTCCCACAGAACACATACTAAGCCCACACTCAACTAGAGTTTTAGTGAAATTCATCTGGGGACATGCTTTTCTCATCATGTGTCAGCCAGAGAGGCAAGGACACCAGAATCACTGTGCTGATAGGCCCAACAGGAGCGGGCGCAGGCTGAGCACTTGCTCTGTGCCAGGAGCTGTGCTAAGCAATTCCCCAAACTTTAGTTCCTGCATCCCACAAACCCGTGGAGGCATATTTACAGACGCAGAAAGGTGAGGTCACTTGCCCAAGGTCACAAACTAGCAGGCGGAGGCTAGGAGTCAGGGTCAGGCTGTGTCCCCTGCTACACTGTTGCTCCAAGTATCATCTTAAGGAGGCAGATGGAATTGGCCATCTCTGAACAGCAGTCAGCTTGATTCCAGCTGTCCCTCCACTTGCTCCCCACCCCATAAAAGATTTGTTTGGCTCCTGAGTCTCCAAGGATGCCCAAGAGAAGAGGCCATCAGCAAACCCACCCCTGGGGGTTGACCAAAGATAATCACCGTGGGAAGCTGCCTTTGAATTTCTACCCCTGCCCCAGCCTTGTCTGGAATTTCTACCACTAGATAACAAACATAGGATTCCCTGTTCCCACAGACCTGGGTGCTTGGCTAAATAATAACAGGTATTGCTTAGGGCTCCCCCACTTGTGGCGGGGGTCCCTTCCTTCTGACTCCTGCTCCTTAGCACCTAAATGCCATCATCTCTCCCACCCCCAAACACATCTGCGCCTTCCCTTGGGCCCTCCTCCTGGAGCGGCTCCCTTACTCTTGCTGGCGACGTCTGGCAGAGCTCCCTTTCCAAGCCCCGAGTCCGGAGCCTTGTCTGCATGTGGCTTCAGGGGAGAGGGCTCTTGGTGAGCGAATGCACCGCTGCTGCCCCATCCTTGGCTTCTATCAATAGGTCAGATAACATCATACCCCCAAATCACCTGCCAGTCTCCCTGCTGCCCAGTGAATAAAGTTCCTCAGCTGTCCAGGTCCACTGGAAGTGACCACACCTGTATGCTCAGCCTCTTCTCACCCCCCTTCGCTCTGGCTCCCCAGCTGTCCTGTTGCTGCCTCCAGGTAGCCCAGACTCTTGCATGTCTCTGCTAAGACCTGTTCCTACTGCTTAGAAAGCACTTTTCCCTACTGAGCACCTCCTTATCCCTCCAGTTGGAGTCCATGGTCCCGCTGATGCTCTCCTGAGGTTGACCCCTAAAGAGTTAGGGGAGCGATTCTAATCCATCTTGAAAACCAATCTGGTGGTGCAGGCAGTTGACTGCAGTGCTGTGAAACTGTCTGCAGTCTCTGCAGTGTGGGTTCGATCCCAGCAGGCCACGGAGATACCCACATGGCACGGCAGACCTCTCCTGTCTCACCAGCTGCTCCCCTCAGAGTGTATTTCAGTCAGTCTGCCTGTTCTGTTCCCTGCTCTATCTCTGGTGAATCCTCTCACCCTCCCACATGTCTGGCCTGTACCCTGGTTCTTGTATAAATAAATAAATCTTTAAAAAAACAAAAGGCAAGAAAACCTCCAAATACCATGCCCCATGCCACAGAGAAAATGCTCGATCAACACTAGTACCACCACGTCTAAACACACCAGAAATTGGTTGCAAAGGCCACAGAGAGGCAGGCAGGATCTACGCAGAACTATCTAGAGAAGCTGCTGTACTTACGGGAGTGATGGCCCCACACACCCCTATGGGCTCATGCCTGGTGAAGCACACAACGTTGTCATCTGGAAAAGAGGGGACAGGGAGGAACACATGACTGAGGTTGAGCACTTTACGTGCAGACATACCTCATTTAACTGTACTGCACTTTATTGCGCAAAGCAAGTGTACTGTGCTTCCTTAACTGCAGGCTGCGTCTGGCAAGTCTCTCCCGACCTTTTCCCGACAGCACCTGCTCACATCGTATCTCTGGGTCACATCGAACTAAGGTCCATTGTTCTTTTAGAGACAATGCTATCTCGCACTGAATCAACTACAGCAGCACATGAGCAGGACTGGCACCGGCACTGGGAAGTCAAAAATTGTGTGATGTGCTTTATTGCTATAATCGCTTCGTTGCGGTGTTCTGGAATGGAACGGGCCTGTCTCTGAGGTGTGCCCGAGTGAAAGTCAACAAACTCAGAAGCCCACAGGGTGTTAGCTCCTAGTCTCGTTTGTTATACAAAGAAGAGATTTTAAATATAATTTAAAAGATCAAATTCCTTAGAAGGATGGGCTCAGGGCCACTTCCTTTTGGGGTACAGGAAGGCTGCTTGGGGGTGTCACCTGGAGGAATGAGAGACCGAGACCATCCTGGAGGAGACTGAGCAGTCTGCCTGTTCTGTTCCCTGCTCTGTCTCTGGTGAATCCTCTCACCCGCCCACACATCTGGCCTGTACCCCAGTTCTCATATAAATAAATAAATCTTTTTTAAAAAAAGGCAAGAAAACCTCCAAATACCAAATTCCATGGGCTGTTGGTCTCCTGTGGGTCTCCTGGCTGGCTTACCTGTGGGGATGGTCCGGCCCTGCACCTTGTCTGCCCACCCTGCAAAGTATCTCAGGGTCCCAATGCAGCCCTCCAGGTCGATGAAAAAGGCGTGAAGGAAGGGCTTCCCCGTGTCCATCGTCTCTAGGGTCTGCATGAACAAAACATGGGTGTCAGGTGCAATTTCCCTTTTACCTGTCGGGTTGCTAAGGACAGAGCGGGCAGGGGGACGGGCCAGCACCCTCCAACATTGCTCTCCGGCTTTCCCGCTCATAGGCATCTCTTGAGAAAGCAACACACTACACTGGACAAAACACCTGTGGGACTGTTGGGGCTGCTTTTATTTCTAGTTGGGGGCTGGACTGGGGTACCGGCCTGGTCCCCAGGAAGGACCTCAGAGGCAAAGTCGATAAGAAGCCTTTCTGGAAGGGAGACATGTTTGCTTTTTGTGGCCTGCCGTCCAAGCACATCGGCCTCAGTGATGGGACCTGGCATGTGGGTGGGTCAGAAAGTGACTGATGTCCCCAGGTCATAGTAACAGCCACGGTGACATGGAGAGAGGACTGGCTGCCATTCCCAAACGAGAAAGGGAAGCTGCAGACTCTTCCTTCTTGGCTGGGCGGACCAGCAGGGCCGTGGAAAGAGTGACGGAGCCCAGAAGCCCCCTTGTACAAAGATGCAACGGTCCCCACGGCGCGGGAGCCGGATGCTCGGTGGGAAGGGAGCAGACTCGCCCTGGGTGTTGGGGAGGTGATCACCCAGGGCCAGTGCGGCTCCTCAATGGCAGAGATTCTTTTCTATTTCCAGCCTGGGTTTAAGAAAACCCCTTTGTCCCGCAGACAAGCAGCCCCAGTTGAGCCCAGCGCCGAACCCGCCCATTCTCCGTCTCTGCAGGAAGTGGCCACCCTGACACATAGCCCAGGGCTGGATTCCTGTTCTGAGCGGTGGAGTGAGAGGCTGACTTACACAGGCAGAGCACCCCTTGGCCCGCACCCTCCCGCGGCTCTGTTCCTACCAGAGGCGCAGACGCCAAGTCTAACAGAGCCTGGCAGCGTGTCCAAGGTCACCCTGGGCGTTGGCAGCGTGACTGGCGCTGAATCTGGAGCACACATTCCCAGTCCACACCATGATGGCGCTTCAGGCTGCTAACGCCGGGCACGTGAGTCTGGAAAGATTGCAGGACCCCCACACAGATGCTCAGGGTGGCTCTACCTGACTGTTCCAGGGGTGAACCAGACTTTCTCTAAGCAAGAGGCAGCTACTTCCCTACACGGGCAAGTCCCTTAATCTTTCCCTGCCTTAGTTTACTCATCTCTATAATGATAAGAATTGGCCCTGCTTTATGGGGCTGCCATGAGGGCTACAGTTCACGTACAAACGCCTGTCTGACTCGAGTGCTGGTCTGTCAAGATGCTGACAGTAATGATGTTGAAGACTGTGATCATCTTCCTTCTGGGGACCTGACAGGTGCTTGGCAATCCTCGATGGGGGACACAGAGGAGGCAGGGTGATGCTGAAGTTGACGGGACTGTTGTGAGTTGGGATGTATCCTGTTCCCCGCAGATGCAGATACATTCCTTGCAAAGAATGCATTTTTTTTTGCATTCTTTGCAAAAAAAAAAAAACAAAACCTCCATTCTTTGCAAATAATACCAAAGGGTTTGCGGGGAGGGTGGTGACTTGAGACACTATGTGCTTATCTGCTGGTGCAGTCAGAAGCTTCTCCTTTGCCTTTTTCTGGGATGGAGTAAGGGACAGAAAGACCCTTACACTGCCCTGAGGTGTAGCAGTGTGGGGAGTGCTGGTCTCCGTCCTGGCTGGGGAACCTTTTCTGGCCTTCAGTGCTGTCATCTCTGAAATGGGATAATGAATACGATAGACCAAGCGCGTACAGCAAGCCTGGGGGGCATTCAATAAACCCTGGCAGTAATTTTATCATCAACTTAGGCAGGTTTACTTCCTGGAGTGACAATATGAATTTGCCAAGTTGGTCTTCTGGAAGCTGTCCAAGCCAAACCAGGTCACAACAGATTTAGGCAGGAAATTCTTTTTAAATATATATATATACATTCACAAATGAGTACATAGAGCTGAGCTTGAGAAATCCGGCACTTGCTCTGATTGGAACTTTTAAACAATTAGTGTGATACCCAGTACACTGGATTTGTTTCCTTTAATATTTTAAGAGAAAACTACACTTCTGAAAAATCAGCACATCTTAGTCTTGCAGATACTAAAGAATGAAGAACCAGGGCTGGGACCCTGGGCTCCTAGTGACTAAACTAACTGGTGCAGAAGTGGGGATCAAACTGAAAACAGAAGATGGTCCTTCTTTGGGGACTCCCAAAACGAGCTCTTGAAGAGCCACCTCTGGCCTTGGAGGGTCTTAGAAAAGGGGAGAAGGCAGGGGCTGCTGGATCACTGCACATCTGTTTCCAAACACTGAAATAAATTCCCAGTCGGTCAAAACCACCAAGCTGGCAAGAGAAGGTAAAGGGGAAAGGGGCCTTTAGCACCAGGAAAATGCAGATAAACCAAATCAAGGTGCTGAATACCTTGTGTTTTCCTACGGGTGTTTTCCTACGATGTAGCCTGGCTTTTAAGAACCATATTTGCCAACAACTCTCTCGTCCCTTTCATGATGTGCCAAAGAGCTGCATCTCCTTTGCTATGGACAGGACAGCAAGGTCCCCATAGCTGAGCCCACTTGCCCTGTCTGTTATCAGAGCTCAGTCCTGCCAGGCCAGTGGGGGGTGAAGGCTGTGTGGCCTTGCAACCGCTGCTGTTCCCTAAGATGATACGACATTGAGGACAGGGTGGGGAGGGCTGCCCAGGGCACATCCTCTCTCGCTGCTATGAGTCCACATGGACATTGCAGACCGATGAGCTCATACTGGGTGAAAACAGAAATGTTTTTGAAAAAGCCAGTTTGGCAGCTTGAGAGTCAAGGCCGACTTTCGTTGCAGGAAGAATCCAGAGGCTCCAGGGATAAAAACACTGACCCTAGGAGGGAGCCACCCTCATCAGGACTGGGACAAGCAGGCCAGAATGGATGACTGGGGAGCAGGGAAGGCAGAGCTCAGGTTCCCTTGAAGATGTAGCCTCAGGGATCTGTGCCCAAGGGCAAACCCCTCTTGTAACAGGGTGGTCCCCAGGAAAGGGGGAGGTTCCCTGCCCCACCCAAGGGAGGGTGGAGCTGAGCAGGAAGAGGAGAAGCTGCAGAAAAGACTGAGGAAGGAAGCAGGATGGAGCCAGAAGGAGACCTGGAGGAGGCACATGGAGCCTAGAGACACGTGAAGAAACTGCGCTTGTCTTTTGGTCGTGGACTGGGTGACACAGATGTGGGTGAGACCCGTGGGGAGGTGACCATGGCAGCTTTTATCTTGATGTTGATTTTGCTCTTTTCCTTCCGGACTTGTCTGGTTGTTTCTGGCCCTTTTCTGTGGGTACCCACTGGAAGATGCTTTAGACTTGTGGCAGGCTGTGGGGCCTTGCTCTGGGCCATTCCCATATGGATGGAGTTTTACCCACGAGGGGATGGGTAACTTTGGGTGCTTCATTTAGAAAATAGACTCTTTGCCTTACCTGTATTGTTTCCTAGTTTTATTAAAGCTCCTTCCCATTAAAGTCTCATATGTTTTGTGTTGATGCGGCGGATGGCAGAACCCATTTAGAACAGGCAGGTTTGCAGGGTTTGGGCTGCCCCTCTCCCTGTCCTATAACACTCTCACCCATGTAGCTTCCTGCCCCCGCCCCCACCCCACACACAAGTTCAGGGACAAAAGCAATTTCAGAGTCCTGGATGACAGTGTCCTGAAGAGGGTGACCACTCCATGGCTCCTTCCTGAGATCATCATCTCAAGAAAGGAAAAAAAACATTTTTCCAAGTCAGGAGCCAGAAAGGAGATTTCTTCTCTTACATACTGGGCCTCAAGGTTTAGAGCAAGTTCTAGAGTCTGTGTCCTCCAAAGGTGGCCAGCACAGACTACAAAGGATTCAAGGCACTCAGGATCTCAAGGTCCTGAGATTTCCTTTGAGCACCCATTGCAAGGCCAAAGGAAGAGCTGAAGTTTCTGCAAATGCTGCCTTTGCAAATGTCTTCACAGCTCCAATTCCTGGGAGTGGCCCAAACTCTTGGAGAGGCTGAATTAATGTTCCCACTTTAGAGCAGAGGAACCTAGCCAGGAGGGCATATAGCTGGGGTTCAACCTGGATCTTTAGGTAGTGTTACTGCGACAATTGCTTTTACTAATAATGGTTATCTTACTGCACAGGGAGTCTGCTAAGGATTTTAAATCATACTTAGATACCTTCACTAGTGACATTTTCTATAAAGAAATACATGTTCAGAGAGGTCAAGCATGTGCCCAAAGTCACACGGCTAATAAGAGGAAGAGCTGGGGTGTGAACCAAGGTCTTTGACACACTGAGGTTTTCTAGAACGAGGTGACCCTGCCTTTACCATCACTCCACACAAGCTCACCACTGCCCCACTCAGGGGTGATACAGAGCAGATTTTTAGGTCATACAGGAATGCTATTTTTCTATTAAGTGGTGCCATTTGCTTTATTATGTATCAGAAAACAATGCCACTGGCATCTTAAATGTGGCTTTCATGGCTATCGTCACTTGGGATGAGGTTAAATGTCAGCTTTAAAGGGAGTTCAGGGTCTCCCCTGGTGGCACAGGTGGTTGAGCGCCGCACTGTGAAGCTGCCCACAGCCTCTGCAGCGCCAGTTCCATCCCGGCCGGCTGGCGAGGGTCCCACATGGCGCTGAAGACCTCTCCTGTCACGCCCGCTGCTCCCCTCAGCAGTGTATTTCGTCAGTCTGCCTGTTCTGTTCCCCACTCTGTCTCTGGTGAATCCTCTCACCCTCCCGTGCATCTGGTCTGTACCCCGGTTCTTGTATAAATAAATAAATAAATCTTTTTAAAAAAAAAAGGGAGTTCATATTAAACAAAAGTCAAGTTCCTAAACATCCAGGTAGGACCAGGATCTGTCCCAACCTGGCCCAGTGATCTGTGACTGTCTCTAATCTGGGAACCGCAGATGAGGATAAACTCCCTCCAGGCTTCTTTTGGTTAAGAAGCTGAGCTGCTGGGGACAAAAGTCTCACTTGAAAATGAAAAGCTTGAAGTTCAGGGACACAGACACTGCTGACTGCTCTGCGGAGAGCTAAACCTCAGAGGACCAAACAGACCCACGGCCACACAAGCCGGCACCCTGCATCTTTTTTCACGGACCCCTTGGGGGTCAGGACCCTTGGGTGAGCTGACTCTTCGGAGATGTACTCACGGCCAGGATAGCGCGGTCCCTCTCCACGAGGTCAGCTAGCTGGTGCAGCAGCCGGCCGCGGCTCAGGGCATCCAGCCGGCGCCATGGCGAGCCCCTCTGGAAGGCGGCCTGTGCTGCTTCCACGGCCTTGTCCACATCAGGCTGAGAGAGAGAGAGAACGGGAGAGAGAGAGTCACCTTTTGATGTTACTGTAGTTCTGGACAGCTTAACTGTTTTAAATCGCTTCCTAGTGGCTCAAGAGGTTAAGCACAGCACTATGAAGCCATCCGCAGCCTCTGCAGCACGAGTTCCATCCCCGGCCAGGGAGCTGACCCATATGGCGCAGCAGACCTCTCCTGACACGCCCGCTGCTCCCCTCAGCAGTGTATTTCAGTCAGTCCGCCTGTTCTGTTCCCCACTCTGTCTCTGGTGAACCCTCTTACCCCCACACCTCTGGCCTATACCCCAGTTCTTGTATGTATAAATAAATAAATATTAAAAAAAATCGCTTGAATGGCTGGGGATTTTCTAGTGATTTCTTGATTCTTTACATCTTGAGACTTTTTCAAGATTTCTACAATGGCCAAGCGTGAACTTTCATTCTGATTATAAAAACATTTTAAAATAGCTTCTAAAATGACTGTCCCTAATTGTGTATTTTTCAGGTTGACCCAAGTAGGAAAAGATTTCCGTCTGCCAGCTCTGCACATACTCCACCCTGACCCCACCAGGTGTGGGAAATGCTCACATGGCACTTCAGCCCTGCTTGGGGCTGCCATCCGACAGTGGGAACAGGGCCAGTGCTATGGATCTCAGAAGCAAGCCCAGTGAAGAGCTGGCAGAGGGGAGGCACCAGCCTTTTTGCTCCTTCCGCCCCAGCTCTTCCTTCTCCGGCAGAGCTGTCCCACCAGTTTTTAGACAAGGAACTGGATCTTCTGTGCACGGATAGAAAAATTACAATAGAGCCTTTTGAAAATGAAAGCATGAGAGCTGGTTAATATCTCCTGTTCTTGTCTTCAGGAAATCAGGGGTTGCAGGCTCTGCTTGCTGTGGGCATCAGCTCACTTCCCTGGCCCCTCTGAGCCTCTCTCTCTAGGGAGGTGCAGAGGACAGTGAAGGCACGGGATGCTAGTCAGCCAGCCCTCCACCACGACTGTCTGTCTGCATAGAAGTGAGTGGAAGTGTGGGCCAGGGAGGTCCAGCACACTTCACTTTATTTGGCTGCTTGGTGGCATTTGCAGTTATTGCATTTTTCACAAATTAAAAATTTGTGGCCACCCGGGGTCAGGGAAGTCCATCAGTGTCTTTTTCCAACAGCATGCATGCAGGTCATGTCTCTGTGTCACATTTAATTAAGGCCTGTACATTGTTTTCTTAGACCTAATGCTATTGCACACTTAACAGACTACAGACTAATGGAAGCATAACTTTTATATGTACTAGGAAGCCAAGAAATATGTCTATGTTGCCATATTCACTTTATTGTGATCTAGAACCAAACCCGAAATATCTCTGAGTTGTGCCTGTGTTGGGGCTGAATTCCTTGTCCTAATCTCTGGGGTGGAGGCCGGCTGCAGGACACAGGGCAGCCTGTGTCTCTGAGTGCTCATTCTCCCTATGCCTCAGGCAGGAGCTTAACCTCCTCCCCAACACCTGCGTGTGCATCTTGGCATCACCCACTGGGAATCCTCACCATCAGGCACCCAACATCCTCACATGAGTTCCTACATGCTCCTGACTGTAACAGAGACTAGCACAGGTCACCGCACACAGGAGGGCCTTTCAGATGGAACCACTGTGTGGCACACTCACCACATACCCATTGCTGGTGGAGTCACTTTTGTCATTCACCTCACTGCCAGCCAACATTACCTGTACACTTACTAAGAACATCCAGTGAGTTCTCTAGCGGTCCCTGCCCTCCTTAGGAAAGAGCTAGACCTTCAACAATTCCCCCAGTGGCACATACATGCAAATGATACTTTATGACCTTGAAATGTACCAAGGCCATATCCAAAAATCACTTAGCACATCTATATTTATGTGTCTATATTTCCACATATACTTATATACATATGCAGACATATAAATATGACTGTGCCTAGAAATCACATACGTACACGTACATCTGTATATATGTATGCATATACGTATGAGTGTATATATATTTAACATCGGCCAAGATTACTTTTTCTCATCAGTGTGCAATGAAACAATGCCCCATGAAATGAAATTATTTGAGGACCTGCTTTTGTTATATGTCATTTCACTTAACATTGCAGTTTCCAACTACCTATCGACACCATTGAGGAATTACTATAGTTATACAGTTAGAGATACATAATATAGCTTATCCAAATAGGGTTACAAAGACCACAGCTTTACATGATGATTTAAGTTTCTGGGAGAAAGAATTCTGGCGATTGTGCGATATTATTACTCCTGCATGACTTGGCTAGCGAGTCTTTTTTCCTTCAAATCTATTTTTTTTAACATGTCTCCTGCCAGAATATTGCATTTGGTGAAACATACCAGCCGGAAACGCTTTCTGGAAGGAAAGGCTCAAATAATTGATAAAAACCTTTCCTTTAGGCACGTGATGGGGATAGCTGAGGTCATCCTCAGAGACGAAGAGACACGGATCAGAGGAGAGTGGCTGGCTGCAGCCCATCATCTCTAATTGATCCCATTCTGGGCCATGTGCCTGAGAAGGAGCCGGGCCGGGTCCTGCCCCTAGTGTGGGCCAGGTTTGTCTTAAAGCTAGCCAAGCCACTTCCTTATCCTTTAGTTATCTGTAATTGAATTACTTAAGGGGGGGAAAAAAAAAGAGCACCCACCTTATCTCCTTCTTCCACTTCACATATTTTCTCCAGAGTCGATGGGTTGTATGTGGCAAACTTTTTTCCACTCTTGGATTCGTGCCATTCATTGTTGATGAATATCTGACCAGGAGAGGAAGTTGTAATGCATTAGGTTTAAATCAAAATCATAATTCCAACATGCTGAGGACCTTAGGTAATGTCTTGTCCTCTCCACCGCCAGCAGATTTATAGATGGAAGGGGCACAGAGTCATTTGTCCAACTGGGAGCTCAGAATTAGAACCCAGGTCTCTTGACTATTAATGCTTTTTCAGAGAATTGGTTTTTGTCAGAAAAAAACTCAAGTTATTTAGAATTTTCTCTAAAACGCTCTTTTTATTTTTTTTTAAAAAGTGATATACATAAATTGACAAAGGGATAGATGCGTTGGAAAGTTAAATAAAAGGTGTAAGTCAAATCCTATATCCTAGTGAGTTAGGGGGACGATTAAATGGGTTTATACAAGAAACTGGCTTGCCCTGGCAGGGGCTATCAGCAGCATGCACCGCCTTCCTTCTTCTTCCATTCCGCTGCACCCCTACTGGCCCAGGGACTCCCTCTACATGGTTACACACTAGCCCTTTAGTCTTCACTGATGCACCTCACCGCTTCCCACCCCCATGAAAGGTAAGGCTCATGTCATGTCAGGCTTAATAAAAGCCAGTGTTGGAATATGAAGATAAATATCATGGTTAAGGAATGTTCTGGTTCTATTAACAGATGTAACACATATCTGAATATCCAAAACCAAAAACTAACCCACAAAAATCACTCGTGGGAGCCACAAGTATCCAGAATGCAGTCAAGAATAAGGAGGTTAAAAATAAAAGAACGTCATGAGGATGCTAGAAATATGTGTACTGTTTACTCTGGGTTTACTTAAAGTTTAGCTGCCTTAAAATGCACCACATTACGGGGGCCTCCCTGGTGGTGCAAGGGGTTAAGATACAACTATGAAGTTGTCCACAGCCTCTGCTGCATGAGTTTGATCCCTGGCCGGCCAGGGAGCAACCCACATGGCACGGCAGACCTCTCCTGTCTCACCCGCTGCTCCCCTCAGCAGTGTTGATCAAGCTGCCTGTTCTGTTCCCCACTCTGTGTCTGGTGAATCCTCTCACCCCCCACACCTCTGGCCTGTACCCCAGCTCTTGTATGCATAAATAAACAACTCTTTAAAAAAATAGTTGGTGGAAAAAAAAATGCTCCACATTGAAAGCAAGGGCTTTTGGAAAAGAACTAGAACAGGAGTGACAGATAACATACAAATCACATTCCCAGCAAGAGGACTGACAACCTTGGCTGTACCAGCCGGGACAGCCTCACCATCACAGTCCATCCCGGTGTCAGCAAGATCCAGTTTCAGATACCCGCAAGACATTCTAGAAGAATTTCTACCAAATAAAATGCTGTCAGTAGTTTCTAAGTACAGTACTAGTTCATTCGAGTGCATTTCTAGATCTGCAGACCCATTTTCTGCTTCTCTTTGAGTCATTTTACAATAAAAGCTGTGTCACCACAAAAGTTCATCAATTATTGTGAAATTTATCCCTTTGGAGCTAAGTGTGCAGCCTGGTTACTTTCTGTCCTGGCCTCTCCTGCAAAACCCCCAAAACGCATCAAGAAGGAAAGTGCTGGCAGAGACATCTTTGATAACTCTCCCTGGAAAGCAGGGATAGTTGTGTCTAGGGGCTGGGGAGAAGCACAGAAGGACAGTTGTGATGGGGCGGGTGGGCAAAAGCCTGCCCCCCATCTTCATGGAGTCCAGAGCTGAGAGCATCCCTTGCCAGTGGGATGTGCCCATCCAGCTTCTAGAAGCTCAGAGCCTTCAACGTGAGGCCAGGCCCCCAGGGAAGCACACGGAAAAGGCCAGGCTACAATTACAGGTTTATTCTTCCAGCTGAAACCAAATCCAAGAGTTCACTTTTGCCATCCAGCAAGTAATCACTCGGTAATAGTGAGAAATTAATAAGTGGAGAAGAGTTAAGTTAGCCTGGGGAGGAAAGTGCAGCCAGGAAGGGAGGCCCATTTGTCGGAAGATGAAATTTCGTGGGTTAGATAATAGAGACTGTCAGTGAAAACTGCTGATTCTAGGTCCTTCCTGGTATCAATTCCAAGGGGGAGGGAAAATGAGAAGGTGGTAGAAGAGAATATAAATAAGAGGGATAGAAACAGATTACAACGATCAGATGTCTGTTATACTTCATCTCCAAGTATGTTCTTCTAAAAAAAATTACGAGGTCCTTTATGACATTGATCCAACGCCCTTTCTAACCAGCAACTTAAAAAAAAAATTCAGACTGCTAACTCTGTATTTTCCCATCGCAATATTTTTAATTTAGCAAAATTCTTTTCCTTATATTATACTAGTAAGTAATCTTGTAAGTGGTTTCTACTGTTGATTTTCTCCCCACTAAAACAAAACAGAAACACAAATAAGGAAGGGGTCAGCGAGTGTGGCCTCCCAACTATGCTGGCTGTATTGATTTGAACCTCAAATCAGGGTAATAGGTCTAGAAAAGAAATTGTTTCCTTGACTTGTGAGTTGGTAGGAAACAAACCTTAGCGTGGTATAAAATGAAGTTACATCGAGCTCCAGGCGGAATTCACGTTTTACTTAAGCCATGGCAAGGCAAGGAATCCAGACTGAACTGGAAAACCGCAGCTTCTCTGAGGAGAGCAGACGACCGGGCCGGGCAGAGGCAAAGATGGCGTTCACCGGAGCAACCTCTGCTGACCCATTTACAGAAACGTCCTCCAGACCTCTGCTAAACTCAGGAGTGTACTTCTAGAAAAGGAGACTTGAGGGAATTTTACTTTTCAGAAAAGAGATCATAAAAACTTGTGTTTTAATGAATCAGAAAAGCTTTAGGAGAATCTCTGCTACTGGAGGAAATTTTGTAAGGAGAGACAGGGCCCCTAAAGTGAAAGGGGCGGCCATCTTCTGACAATTGTTTGGAGGTGTTGGGGATCCCTCCCTTACAGAATCACTCAGCAGAGCCCTGTGTGAAAATTTGAGAACAAAGGAAGGGGCTTCGATAAAGACATCCTTCCAGAAACCGGATTTACTCTGGGAAATGGCACTGCAAGGCCAGGTCAGATGCACCATCTCTGAAGGGAGTGCCCTCCATTAGCAAGAAGCACCAGGAGTCAGTTTTGCAAAATAACAGACTTACCGGCTCACAGCTAGCACACGCCACCCTTCCCGATGGCCTTTCTTGGGCCTGCAGTTCTGTTTCTGCTCCCTTCCTGGGCTGGGTCTGCTGCCTCTCCAAGCAGAGGCTCCTGGAGCATCGCTTGCCTGAGTGCTGGATGCCCACCCTCTACCACGACCACTCAGGCTGCCCAGACCCTGAGACTAACATGGGCGATCTCTGCAGAGGTGGGCCAAGAGCAAGGATGAGGCAGGCCAAGACCCAGAGTACGACAGATAAGGAAGGTAAGGCCTGGCCTTTGCAATCAGCACGTCCTGGGAGCCCCTAAGGATGCTGGCTCGCCAGCCCCCTGCATCTATCTCCCCGCTTTAGCCTTAACCACACACCCAGTTTTGTCCACTGGAAAGAGGCAGCTCCCACCAAAACAACAGACACTGGTCACTCTCTGACTCTGCAAAAATTCCTCCTCTCTAGGGGCTATGTTTGCATTTGCAAAGGGCTCTAAAGGATTGCAGAGAAAGACGTAAACTTCCCAGAGGTGGCTGCACTACTGTGATCGGAAAAGCAAAAGGTCAGTGTTATATGTAATTTCTGGTGTCCATCATTTTTTTTTTTAAATTATAAAACCAAAGTAAAAGAAAAAACCAAAACACCAACTGAATACTGACTTTTAGGTTCCCCAACATGTAGGCACTATTCTCACTGTCCCCAGAATTTTTTTGAAGTTGATACCACTAAGGAAGCTACATTAAAAATGATCCTAGCCTTTCGGAACAAGTGTCTCTGTTGATTACAAGGCCCTCTGAAAAGAGTTAATTTAAATATCATGGATCAGAGACCAAGCCGACATTAAGTGCCAAGAGACCAAAAGCTGAAGGCCACACATAGTGGCCTGCAACTTTCTCCGCTTGATTAAAGCTTTTTGAGATTCATAATTGCTACATTTGCAAGTGACATCGAATTTTCTAAGTTCTGCGTCAGCTGGAGTTGGAGGCTATGGATAAGATGCATCATCATCATCATCATCATCATCATCATCATAAAACAAGAGGAGACACACTTGGGGATCGCGAAGCCGAAGGGGGCTCTAGGCCTGGGCCCCGAAGTGCCCCATCTCCAGACCTTTATGAAGAGCACAGCCAGGCCTGGTGTTTCCCTCCAAGACTCGCTCAGGCCCTGGCTCCAGCCATTCAACACAGACCTCACCATTTTCCTTTCTGCCCTGGGCAAGTGACCTGGCCTCTGTGCCAACCTGCCAACGCCCCAACCTTCCAGCCTGTGGCTGGAAAACACAAGAAGCTTCTAAATCAGGGGCCTTATGGTGTCCGCACTCCCCGCGGCTGTTGGACACCAGATCTGAGACTTTGCTGGAAGGTGTTCTCTGGGCTCCGCCACCCATTCATCAGCGAACACCTTCCAGCTTCCCTAGCCCTACTGGTAAACTGGGCACAAGCAAAGCGCAGAAGATGCCCAACTTTCTCCCGCTGCTCCCTCTGTCATGTTCCAGTTGCAGACCCCAGGGCAGATCCCTCAGATCGACTCTTGCTCTCAGGCCTCCTTCTGCCGCGCAAAGCCTTGTCTGTTCAGCACCCAAAATCCTGCAGGGGGGTCTGCCTGGAGACTACCGCGCACGAGTCACCGGGTCAGGCACCTCTGCTCGCCTTCAAAGCAAGTCCTGCAGGGGCACGTCGGGCCGCGCCAGTAGCAGCCTGGCCCCGCTGGGGCGCTGCGCAGTCTCCCGAGCCCGGGTTTGAGATTTAAAGCGCAGAGCCAGGAGGTCAGCGAGCCCCCCACCGCCCCCCTGAGGTGAGATGGCCCTGGAGCCCCCTTCAGGGTGCGCAGCGGACTCACAAGGAGTGCGGGTTCCCATCCAGGTGGCCTGGCCGGGCGGCAGAGGCTCTGGACACCAGCCTGCCTGGCGAACTCAGCCGAGAGCGCGGGCGGGCGGGCAGCTTCCCGCACCCTTGGACAGGAGCGCGGGGCCTCTCGGCCGCTTGGCCCCTAGCCGCCCCCCACAGCCCCGTGGGCCAGCCCAGCGCGGGGCCCGGCGGCCGTCGGGTGGGACCCGCGTCCACCTCACCTTGGTGAACTTGACCTCCAAGTTGCGGATAGGGCGCGGCAGGGCAGGAGGCTTCTTGTCGGGCTGCCCGTTCTCCACCGTCCCGTTGGTCGTGGCCATGGCTCCGCCGCGCTCCCTTGGCCCCGAGGAAGCCGAGTCTGCGGCGCCGGCTCCGGCCTGGGCGGTGCGCAGCCTGCTCGCGGGGTGACAGCTCGGCTTCGCTTTATGAGCGCCCCACGCCTCCCGCCCGAGGGGGCCGTCTAATTGGCTGCAGGACCGGAGGAAGGGAGGGCGGGCGAGAGCGGAGGGAGACGCCTGCCTCACCCCACCCCGCCCGCCGCCCCTGCGGGAGCGGGGCCACCCCCTGCCCGACCCCCGCGCCGGCCGCGCGCGCCTCCGCGGGGGGCCGTCCTGGAGAGCGCCCCGGGGCCCGGAAGTTCCCGGGCTGGGGCGGCCGGCGGGGCTGCGCGCGGGGGCGCCGGAGCCGCAGCGCGGGGCTCGGTCTCCCCAAAGTCGGCGAGGCACCTGCCGCCCCCCGCCCGCCGCCGCTCCGAGCACTCGCGCAACTTCTGCAGGCGCGCCCGCCGGCCCTGGGCTCCGCCGCGCGCCCGTGTCGGGGCGCAGGCGTGGGGGCCCCCGCGTCGCTGCCCACGTGCCCGGTTCGAGTGTCCGGCTCGGGCGGGCGCGCCCCCAGCCAGACCCGCCCCGGATTTCCCCGCGGCGCGGCCCGGGGACTTCACACTCCAGGGGCAGGAGGCGACCCAAGAATGCGCGGCGGGGCTCAGGCCTCCAGAGGCGCACACGCTCTCCAGCCCCCCGCCCAGGGCGGCAGTTATTTTGCTTTTGAAAATGAATACATTCCCCCGCAATGGAACAAATGAAGGGGGAAAACGCATGAAATCTTTGCAGTTTTAAGCTACAAGAGTTGAAGCGTCTGCCTCCAGGGTGCTCACGACTGCTCAGGGAAACAGGCGTGTTCAGCTCCTTCTCCTTTTTGCTGCTTTGGGAACCCTCTACCGACCCCGGATCCTGCCCCAGGTCCCCCTGACACTTGGAAGCAGATCCTCATGCTTCTCCTGCCCCGGGTTTCTGGACTGGAGATGGGGCACACATACTCCACCACAGAGGCAGGGGTTTCATCCCCAGATAGTCCGGGCCTCTCAGAACAGCCCCTTCTGTGAGTCATCTCCAGGGATGCGGTGGGGTGCGCCTTGCTGCCCGGAGGCTCTTGCCGCTGTTCCGGGCTTCCCAGATGTCCATCCATGCCCGCTCCCTCCTTCCTCACTGCTGTGCTGTGGCTGTCTTTCCGGAGTTGAGTAAGTATTTAGGCTTTTGCAAATCCCTCATCAGACCTGCTGGCCACTGGGGCTGAAGGGGCCCAGTGGAGTTACCTGTCAGGATGCCCAAGTGAAGCCAGAAAGGCCATGGGGGCCCTGAATGGGGTAGGGCTGACCACACCAGTGAGTCTGTCCTCCACGCCGGCTCACTAAGTATCCACAACGCAGCCTGTTGCTGCCGTCAGCCCTGGCTCCCTGTCCTGCCCGGATGGTCCAGGGGATCCCCACTTAGGTCCCCCCTAAGTCTGTGGGAAGATGTCTCACCTCAGGGACCCTGGCTGGAGCTGTGCCCATGTCCAGGAAGGCCGAGCTGGTGGGTTCACCAGCGAGCTTTGTAAACTGAATACATGTTAAAGTTTCTTTGGGATCCTGGTGGAAGGTGGAGCAGGTACAAAGACCCTGCGGCCTTGGGTGTGTGCCGGCTGGGCGTGTGAGCGGCCTCATCAAGGCCTGACTCAATATTTTGATGTGTCTTCTTTGCTTTATTTTTATACCTAGTTCTCTGCTGCTACCTGGTCTAAAACGGATTTATCTCAGACCACTCTGGAGGGTGGAAAATCTTTCCTTGGCTTGGAAGACCAGTAGGGCCACAAAGAAAGCAGCTGAAAGATGTGGGGCTGTGGCCTGTCCTCTGGGACTTGGTTGAGTGCCATCTGAAAATGTGTAGAGAACTGTGGGCATTAAATAGCTGCTGGACGGTTGGGTGGAGGCAAGAGGGCTGGCGGCTTGGAGTTGCTCCTTTAGGGTAAGAGAGCCTGCTTGTTCTAAGGTGGACAGCTGCCACCTTGCTGGATGTGCAGGCAGGAATGAAAGCTGCCTCACCTCACACCCAAAGTCACCCTCGTAACCCACGGCGTGGCTCCCACCCATGTGATCCAGGGAGCCTGGAGTGGGAGCTGGGCACTCAGCCGTCACAGGTCAGGAGAATGGGCTCGGCTGCAAACTTGTCCAGACCAGCAGGCTCCCTCTGCTCCCCTTGTCTTGCCACTGGAAGGGGAAATGAAGGCAACATGCTCTTCTCCCCATTTTACAGGTGAGAGGTGAGTAAGTGGAGGCATGCCGATACTTGCCCCAGACATCACCTGCGTGGAGGAAACAAGGCAGACTGTGTGGCGGTGGGTGGTGCAGGGCGTGGAGCAGGGATTTCTCTTACCTTCCTCTGCATTCTTCTTCCACCAAGGTGAGTACCTGTGGCCTCATGTCACCGGGGTGGGAAAGCACAGCAAAGCACCGTGTTCCTCCGAGCTGTGCCTTTCACAGGTGTCAGGCCCTGAGGTCCTGGCCTCAGAGGTGATGTTCTTAAGGGGTAGGGGAGGCGGGAGGACCCTTATTTTTGCCATGGTGGGCTGCTGGGTGGCTGGGCCAGGGGACCATCCAGGCAGCCCATGTTCCAGAGGCCCAGCCCTTCTGCCACATCCCTGACTCGCTCCCAGCGTTGTCCCCTTGCAGTGGACACTTCATTTTCTTTTTTCTGTACCATAATCTTCACACTTTACAGTTTGGGGGGGGGGGATCGAGCTGGATAAGGATGTGAGGGGGTGCTTTATAATCTGTAAAGGACGGTATACACGCCAGTCCTTGATTTTCCTGCATCCTGGAATAGGATTCCTCTTAGCAGGCTTTTCTTCTGGGATCTGAGCAAGTTCCCCTGGCTTCTCTCTGACTTGAAGAAGTTTCCCTGGTCAATTGTTACTCTGCTAATTTCCTTGTAAAAATAACATTTTTATTTTGTATACAACTCTGGGGGGCTGCTATTGTCTGCTGCTTGACTTCTCAGCCTGTCAAATTATCTGAGTCCGAGACGGCTTGTTTATTTGATGAGCACTGAGTACCATGAAAAAGTTGAGTTTGGGACCCAACCCCTGCTCCCCTCAAGCTCAACCTCACCTCATTGTCAAACACATAAACATTTGTGAGGGATATTGCGGTCAGGAGCAATGTGATGAATTATGATGGTGATGGAGAGCCCTTTTTGTTTTACTTTATCTCAAATATGGTATAAGCTTTGCTGGGGGTATCCAGAGTTTTCCAGTGGACCCAGAGCTGGCAGGTGGCTCACTTCACCCTGCAGCTGGGAATCCAGGCCAGGCCCAGGCCACGGGGGTATGGAAGCCTGTCCTGGAGAGACAGGCTCCTCGGGGAAGGTGGCTCTCTAGAGCAGGAAAGCAGTGTGTCTCCTCTTCAGTGAGCAGGGCGGGGACCTGACCTCAATTTTCCTGGCATAAAATAGGCTGACAAGTGGCCCCAAAGGAAGATCTTTTACCCTCCAAAGTGGTCTGCAGTAAATCTGCTCTAGACCAGGCAGCAGCAGAGAACTAAGTACTTTTAAAAGCAAAGAAGATGCATCAAAATATCAGGTCAGGCCTAGATTAGGTCACTCACACACCCAGCCTGAAAGTCCATGACTGCTATAACTTTCTGCCTAGTTCACCTTCCATCAGTAACCCTGGGATTAAGAGTTGGACACAGTTAGGGGAGAGCATGGCAGGTAAGGCAGAGCAAGCTGGTTGATCAACTAATTCTCTTTTTTCTTGCCAATGCAAGAAAATAATGCAGTGGCCCTGTATTATTGAGGCCAGCAACGTGGTTTGCTGGGACTTATTTATCAGCCTCTCTTGCAAATAAGGGTGGTTAATGAGATAAAAGCTGGAGTCTTTGCTGTGGGTTTCCCAAGAAGCTCTTGCATGGGCTCGCATAGCTGAGAGTCCTTTCTTCCTTCCTGTTGTCTGGAACATAGATATGAGGGCTGGGACTCCAGCAGCCATCTTGTGACCTTAAAACAATTGCTAGAATGGAAGTTATAGGATAAGGAAGTTGAAACAGACACATAGGAAGAGCATTGGTCTTTGATAACCCTGGAACCAGGCTTTCTGGCCTGGATTTCCTTCCTTGAATTTCTTTCTTGTGAGCAAAGAGCCAATTCCTATCTGATTTAGGGCTGCTATTTGGGCTTTCTGTTGTCTGTGGCCTCACCTAATTCTAAGTGATACAGCTGGTTATTTAAGCCCTGCCTCATCAGCATGACTAGACAAACAAACTTCTAAACTCAAGGGTAATTATTTCATCTTTGGGTAAAAAAAAAGCTGTGCTAAAAAAAAATCTTGTTGTTATCTCTACATGTTTGACTTTTATCAAATGCTGTGAACAGTTTGTGCTTAGGTTTATGGTACACTGAAAACAAAAGACAAGACAAATCTTGGAGTGGAATGGATGAAGCTGGCTCATTGATTCATGTACAGTTTTAATTAAATTGGATGGTGAGGTCTTACCACCAGGGAAGAGAATCCTCTTGGTACTGAAGTCCTTCTGGGATTGATGAGTTAACCCATAATCCTGTGGTGCCCATGGGTGTTGGTTCTTGGTGCTGTTCCCTCCAGTCCATCGAGGAAAGTGCTTAAACTCAGAGCTGATGAGAGTGGCATCAGAGACGCTCAGACCTGGGAGCTACTTGGCCAGTCCAGCCCTCAGTCTAGGAAGCAAGAGTCAGATGATAGTTTTCTAAGTCCACAAATCTTTGCATCTCACACATAACACTCCACACTTCTCAGCCACCAGACTTTCTCAGCTACATGAGAAGTCATTTGCAAACTTTCCAACCCTCTTCAAAATTTAAGAATTCTGTGTTCTGAACCAAATTTGAATTATTCGGAGGAGGGGGTTGGAGTTCAATTTATTCTGGACAAAACATACTTCCTAGTTAGAAGGAAAATCGTTTAAGGGGGCTTATAAAAGAAAGGGTTCTGGAAGATTCTTGGACACAAAGTGGCTCCCACTAAACAATTGTGCTGAGTTAAGCCTAAGTGAATCAGAAACATGCATATTAAATTTCCCTCGAAATCCACATGGGTATAAAAATGTCGG